AAGAGATAGATATATATAACTATTACTATCTATCTTATATAGATAAGCCTCGCCTTAGGTAATTACGGAATATATAATATAGTATTATTTAATAGCTTATCTATTAGGATCTAGCGTACTATATATACTATATTTTCTTCTGGCTAGACTACGCTTACTAACTAATCTCTTTCCTATATTATATAAAGAGTATTATATCTAAGGAATAGACTTATTTTAGGTATATTAATATAAATCTAAATAACTTAGTATAGACTAAATAAGGTAATATAATCCTATAAAGTAGTCTAATATTAGATAATAAAGATAAATAGAACTATACTAAGATTTTGCCTAATATATATCGCTATATTTAGAAATAATAGGCTCTTATATAGGATAGAATAAATATTATAGATAGCTTTATATAGAAAATAATTAATTAGCTTTAGACCCTAAAAGATACTAAGAGATATAGTATTAACTAAGTAAAGGAGATCTATATAGCTAGTAATATCCGAATTAGTTTACCTAATATCCCCTATAGATCGATAGGTCCTATAACTAAGAGGCGGAGAAATATTTTACTATAATTTATATATATTAGAGATAACCACTTAACTCTAAATATTCCAGAGTCTAATATATAAGAAAAAATATCTATAGCACACTAAGACCTTATATAAGCTCTAAGAACTCTATTAAGGCTTATAAGTAATATATATAGCTATCTATAATATATATATTCCCTATAGCGCTACGATTCCGCGAGGAAGATTTAATCTCTAAATACTTAGTTAGTTATAGCCATTAAATAGACCTTAGTATATTAGCTAAGTTAGATATCCTCTTCGGACCGAATAAAGCCGTAGTAACCGCTTATATTATCTTATAGAGAAAAAAGGTATAATAAATATACGCCTAATTATTTAGAGATATAATTAAGGCGGAGAAGCTAGTATTCGGGAAGGACTCCTTCTTCTACTATAAGGTATTAGGACTATATATTAGTCCTCCTAATCCAGAAGTTATACCTCTAGAGGATAATAATAATAAGGAAGAGATATAATATCCGCGATAATAGGGAATAGGTATTTTAATCCTATCTTTCTTTACTTTTATTAAGTGGCTTAGGCATTCTAAATTAATTACGCTTAATCACGGGACGGTTAATTTTATAGGGAGGGGTAATATATAGTGGGAGAACCGATAATATAATAGCCTATATATAGCCTTAGGCATAATTTAATATCTGCAGTGCATAATATATCTTTAAGACACACTTAGAGATAGATAAGTTATCTACCTAATTCATTTAGGATTCACCCTATTTCTTCTATTTATAATATAGTATTAAGATTATCCCGTACAGCCGTATCAGGGCATCAGTACGGCCTCATCCAGCGTCCTCTATACCAGGCAGGCAGTGTGTGTGTGTGTGTTGTCCAGTCTGCATCGCCAGACAGCTATCGAGCCGTTCCCATTTCAGTATATATAATAGCGTAGGTCGAATACGTAATTGATAACCAACTACTTATACCGTATATATAAAGTTAAGCTAGGGGTCTATGTATTCAGGATATTCTGGTGGGTCTTAGTTAAAAACGGTGCGATATTGGCTATCTAGAGACTGGTTTCTATTAGTGATCTAAATATACTTACTGAGCCGACGTATATTGTGAATTTCATCCTCGCTGACCCCAAGTTAATCTGATAATATCTATATGACTGGTCTTTTATCTCGAAGGGCTTCGCGTTGAAAGTCGTGTCGAGCCAGGCGACTTTTTTGATAACAATTCTTCTTCACGTCATCATAGGCTCCGAAAAATAGGGACCGTCCCACTTGGTTTGGGCTTGAGTCTCGAGTGGCAACTTCTTTAGACGAAGCATCCAGAATACCGCGGCGGCGGTTACGAATTCGAAGTTGTTGGTGCAGTTACGTATGGTGGTTGTGGTGCTTATGCTGTTGCTGTCCGCATGAAGATAGAATTCAAATGGCAGGAGAGTTTTGACTCTCTCGCTGAATTGAGTGATAGAGGCAGAGTTCTGGGGTTGACTTATCATGATATTGGTCGTCGTGGATGGATATGATCAAAGTCATGATTGTGATCTATGAAAGTGTTCTGCGGCATAATCGGGCATCTTCATGGTGAAACCTGCTATGCAATAACAAGACATAGAGCATATTTAGACCAAGCCTCACGCAGCCCATGATCGAGACTAATTGCAGCTATTCAACCCCGGAAGCAAAGTTCTATTGGTATCGGCCATTCAGCAAGCGAGGAGCTGAATCTATTTTGTGATGAAACAAGTCGCTTTATAGGCTGTAGAAAGAAAATTGATCTCGAGACGAACAGCAGCGCTCCATTGAAGAATAGAACGAGTAGTGGCACTCATTTCTAACCGGTCGTTGAAGCTTTAGGGTGTATACTCTGAACTGCGACCTGTGTTGTATGGGGATGTCACAGAATTATCCATTGGCACGCATATTCCATCGCTGCTGAGCATTGACGAATCCAACAAAATCATTGAGCTGAAGCGTGTCAGTCCCATCAATAAGTATCCATCTATTGAAATACCAATGTAGTTCAAGTGGTGCTGGATCTAAGGAGCACGGGATAAGACGGATTGAAAATTCTAATGATGTTGCGTGTTGTAGTACAATGTAGCAACGTGATTCGAGAATGAAGCATATACTCATCGCAAACCCCACGAAACGAGACTATCGAGTAGATGTAACCAGTCTCCTCACCACACAGATAGAATGGGACGGGACGATTTACTTAGCCGAAGAACTTCCAAAACAATTCGGGAGACAGGCTATATTTGAACTGCGACACATCATTTGCTGAAGCAGGTGTATACCGAATAGCCGTGCTAAACACTGGTCGCAGCAAATTGACTGGTGAAACGGTCGCTGTTTTCGGCGTTAATTCCATAGCTCCTCATAGTTACTCTAATTGTCAGCCAAAGACCAGGAAACGAGTTTGATGAAGGGTATATCGTAGAGTCACTCCGCAGACTGAAAACTTCCTAATCTAGTCTGCTAGATCATCAGACCTTATTATCTTCTCCTCTTGTTGGTACCACATACTTGAATGTTCTGCCAAAAGAAATACATTCCGACACTCTCAAGCTGAATCGGACTAAATCTTTACCCGCCGCCAGCAGAACGCCCTCTTAGTGATGAAGCAGCGGTGTCATCAAGCCGGACTTAAGGGTGGGGCTAAGCGGCTCTAACCTACCGGTGGGTGGACTGTTGACTTCTGGCGGCTGGACGTACCACGGATATCCTTCAGCGAGGTGGAGATTTTGACTGAGTCAGTGAGCAGTATTTAAATGCATCATTCACTGTCTAAAATATATCTCCCTCCACTCCGTACATTCTGAAAACCCTCCAAGCTTCAATACACTTGTGTATGTCTTCTAAAGGGTTTAGTTGACAACCTCAATACAGAATTGAATGCTAACTTGTCTTGTTTTGGAGCTAGACTCGAACTTTAACCCACCACCATGTCAACCGCCCAATCTCTTGTCATTAAGAGCGGCTTCAAATCGGACGCCAAATGCGTCAAGCCCACCCAATGTCTATCTTGGATCCTATCCACATGGGAAAGGATGCATTTATTGCCAATGTCACATTCACACCCTGCGCCCGCACTTATTGGCATACTCATGAGAAAGGCCAGATGATCAAAGTTGTCGCTGGCAATGGCTGGATTTGTGATAAGGGTGGCGTTCCACAACGCTTGAAGACGGGCGATGTTGTTTGGGCTCCCGCTGGGACTACGCATTGGCATGGAGCAGATAATGGGAGTATTATGACTCATTTTGTGATTGGTTTGGGGATACTGTCTGGCACGACGCTGTCACCGATGATGACTATAGCCAGAAAGATAGGATCTGATCGTGTCACACTCCTCTTGATGTGTGGAAATGCCAGGGTTCTATAGGTTAGTCTGATCGGCCATTTCGTAATTCGGATTCAAGACCCGATGCATCCTATCTGAAGCATATAAGCCATAATGAAAATGTTGAAATACAGCATTACATCTCGGTCGCATTCAACCGTCCTTCAAAAAATAAGAAGGGAAATCAAGGTTGGAATTAATGTTGGGCCTTTCCTTAGCATGACGCATTGTGTCATGGGCTTGGCAGTCAGTAATATTACGGCCTTTACACCCCGTTACCCGTGCGAAGATTAACTCGACAACACTCTCGGACTTGTTCTCAATGATTCACTTCGATTTTGTACCATGAATTTACTACCATTGTTCTCTGGCCTTCCGAAGACCACCTTCACAACGCGGTATGCCTTTGTCGCGCGCTTATGCTACTCAACTTCACAGGGGTCTTCCACAACACGCAAAGATTGCCATGACATGAAGTTTGTCAAGTCCAAAGTTCCATCTCAATCTCCTTCGCCACTTCGTCTGCCATTTTGGACTTGTCGGTCGACGTGGAGACGGGCAGGGATCAATACACTGCGTTGTCTCGTTGGCTGCACCTCCGGTGATTTCTCCGCGATGTGGTTGTTGCAATCCTATTATCCCGGGCTTGGCATGAGTAGTATCATGGTTGCTTCAAGTAAGACTCCCTTTTTTCCCCCTACTATGAGTCTTTTAAGGTTAGGGTTGACGCAAAACGCTAGTGATCTCTGGTGTAACAACTTCAATCATCCTGGAAACAATTCTACTCAGGCGTGGAGCCGATCGGCTCTCATGGATGATGGCTGCGCGTACAGCTATGGGAATGAGCATGTTCTCCATGCTGGCAATGGAACTCGCGGAAAACGCAGTCGATTATCAACTTACCGGGGGAATTGTGAACTTTGGAAATCCTAATTTCTGGCTGGCGGCAACCCTGTCAATAGGTGCTGGCTATCTGGCTCCGTTACCTTACAATTATATACGTCTGCGGAAGTATGGAAAAGCATGCCATTGAGTATCTGTGGTATCTCTTTGGGAAAGATTCAAAGAGCGCTTGTCACATCGTGTAAGATATCATTTATTCCGCCTAGGTTAGCCTTGCGGCTGTGAACCTAATAGGGTCCTGGCTAGTTGGAATGCTTTTGAAGCTCCTGTCTGTGCATCTGGTTCTGAGTTCTTGTTTTGCTTTTCGCAAGCATTATTCGGGCCAATGGCGGGTTCATCTGGACTTTCGTGCTTGACATTGGCGAAGTGGGTTCTGACAAGAACAAGGCCCTTTCTGATGAGAGGTGAAATTTGCGTGCTCTCCGTCTCTCGGTACAAAGCTGGGTAGATTGATACGATCGACTCACCGATGATGGTGTCATCGGGCAAATCGCCAAATTTCTCTTTGGTGATGAGGCAGTGCGTTCGCAGGTCGACGCAGTCATAGCTGTCCATCATTCGTTTCTTAAAATTGAATAGATTATTCCGGTCGGCTGCTGAGTGATATTTCCAGAGGTAATTCCGGGTGGAGCATCTCATCTTGGTGGCAAGCTCAGCTGCGGGCTTTGCAATTTGTTCCTCGAATCGCTTCAGTCTCTCCGTCAAACGGTCATCGTCCTTGACACCAGCAAAAACCAGGATCTGAAAAATGTATTCCGTCAAGGAGTGGCATTTCTCTTCTAGCGTAGATGCATACTGCTGGGAGCTGGCGCACGCTCGGAATGTGTCTGATCTCCATGAAACCATTGCCCTAGGGTCTAGCAGTAGAACGATTAGCCATATTCATATACTTTATGCAAGAATTACGTGCGCTCGTACCTTTTTTGGGATCAATAAAATGCATATCCCGACAAAGTCTCTTGAGAAACAATCGTTCTTCAAAGGATGCCCCGACTAGGATCGGCGAGAAGATAAGATCTCCCATGGCTCGAAATATAGCCATCATTAGTATCTCTCCATTGGCCAATGAGGCCAGAGTCCCTTGTAAAGGGTTTCCTGTACTAGGATAAAGACGCTCACGTTTCAGAAATTGTCGGAGGAGTGGCCAGTGATCATCAAACGCTTCCAACTCATGGAGTACACATTCAACCCAGTTTGAAATTCCGGCATAAATACTGGAAAGCTCGTCGGAGATGAAGCTGTCACTCACTTCGGATGGATTCATAAATTGAAGAACTCGGAATGCATAATCATCCCGCTCTTTCTTGAGTTGCCTGACTTGCGAATGAAGAGACTTGAGTTCGGTGTCGTTGCATGAGAGCCTTTCGCAGAGAATTTCCATGAGATTGAATACCTGCGAAGCTTCACTTGTTGTGTTGTGCATGGCATTGTTGAAGCTCGAAGTAATGACTCGGGCCCGCTCCATTATCTCCCCGATCGATGAATGTGCAGAGTCCATCTTGGAAAGTATGTGGTGAGATGAAGCCCAAGTCTTCTTTCAGTCTCTGTTAGTCCTTGGGTCTTCCGTGTATGTAAGAGGTCAAATTTTTTGAATTTCGTAGAAATGAGGGCTAAGAGGGTGTCAGTGAATGAAGGGAGCATAGGCAGAGTACTCGAAAACAAATTCAGAGCGAAATACCAGCTGTCAAAGTGAGAGGTATGAGTCTGAGGTGACGAATTAAGAGTAAAAGCTTCTGTAAGAGGTATGAACCGGTCATCATGGGTTTGGGATATCGGCAGCTTTTCTGCCATCATCATTCCAGCTTCACTTCTTTCCCACTTACGGGCCCTTCATGAAATATGCCCTCCCATTGACGACGGCCCTACTAGCATTCTCTTTCCTGATATCTCTCATGAAAATCTGAATAACATTTGCCCGCTTCTTCTTATTCCAAACTCTGACAACTCACAGCTTACGTCTCTATCCGTCTCCTTCAAGAGACTAGACCTGACACAATACAGAGCTGACAAGATATTCTCGCTTTCCAACGCATTTGTTTCCGTTCCACTGGTCCATTCGGACCTCAATTCCTGACTGCCAATAAGCCCCCTTGCCACTACATCTTTCTCTGTCTTTTTTCGATATTCATCTTTTTTTTTTCCATACTTTCATCCATCTATCCTTCAAAACTCAAACAAGATAAACCAAGATGGATTCAGGAAAGAACAGAGTCATTGTGGCCATCGACTTCGGTACTACCTTTTCCGGAGTCGCTTGGGCCAGGTCTCCAACGTGAGTATTTACCCTCATCGCTGCCTACGATCTACTAACGTTGGAGAGCACTATAGCCTGGCGCACACTACCTGATAAATCAATGGCCAGATCGAATCTCCAGCTCCCATAATGGAGTTTCCAGCGAGGAAGTGCCATCTGAAGTGGCCTACACGGACAAAGATTCCAAGCAAGAAATGTTTTGGTGCTTCCAGATTCCAACTAGCCTTCCACGTCTGCGATGGGTCCAGCTTGGTCTAGATCCTGACCAGAAACACGGAATATCAGCGTCACTTCTGACTCAAAGCAAGAAATTCCTAGGAGCGCCTTACCCGCCTGATGCAACTCCCCAGAGTGTCACCACGGACTATCTTCGTGCATTGATCGAGTTTGTCTCACAGGTCATCAAGTACCAGGTTGGATCTGTCTTTGAGACACTACTTTTCTCTTTCGTTATCACTGTTCCGGCTGTATGGTCTCAAGGAGCGAAGATCAGGACTCTCACCTGTGCAGAAGAGGCAGGTCTAGCAAAATCAGCCCCAATTCTCATCGTGTCAGAGCCCGAGGCCGCTGCTATTCATGCCTTGAAGGCCAGCAACCCACATGGCCTGAAGGTTGATGACACCGTTGTTCTTTGTGATGCCGGGGGTGGCACAGAGGACTTGATTACATTCACAATTGTGGAGCTGTCACCAAATCTCCGTCTTCGAGAGGCTGCTCCTGGCATTGTGAGTCTGTGTGGCAGCACTTTTCTCAACAGAAGGTTCGAAGACTTTCTTTTGAAGCAGCTAGGCTCCTGCCCGGTTTTCGGGGAGGACACAATGGAGCAGGCAACACAGCACTTCGAGCTCGTTGCGAAAAGAAGATTTGCTGGGGATTCCCATGATGACTTTGCCTTCCCTGTTCCAGGAATTGCCGACAATGATGCAGTCAACGTCCGACGTGGACGTCTGCATGTCACAGGAACGCAGATATGGGATTTAATGTTGCCGGCCTTGCAGCAAGTTCTGGATCTTGTGCGAGAGCAGATCAAAATATCCAAGGCTCCCGTTAAGTCGGTCTTTCTCGTTGGTGGTTTCGGACAAAATCCTTTCCTTCGTCACTTCATTCACGAAGCTTTGCCTTCCGGGATCGAGGTTCTCGCACCAGTTGATGGCTGGACAGCAGTCGTTCGAGGTGCCCTCTCGAAGACTTTGTTCGATCTTTGCACTTCAGCTCCCCAGGTCGCGATTGATTCTCGAGAGGCTAGAAAGCACTATGGCACAATCAAAAGTTTAAAATTTGAATGCTCTGGGCATAAGAAAGTGAGTACTGTACTATTGAAGGATCAAACAAACCTTTTGACACTACAGATATTGGCATGAGTTCTATGGAGAATTCCACATCAAGGTCATGGAGTGGTTTATACAAAAAGTAAGAAGCTACTGATGTTCAAGATATCTCGGTTAACTAACAGTTCAAGGGCGATGAGATCGAAGAGACCAAGCCCGTCGTCACTTCCTGGATCGAACACCGCCATAAATCGCAGGGCAAAGTTACATCTATTAAGACCACGATTTATGAGCTCGACGGAGCAGACAGCAAGAAGGCTCCGCTCTATTTCTGTCGTGGTAAGTTGAGTTCATAGATTACTTCAATCCAAAAATTTTATTGACTAAATCTATCAGAAATGCGAACGCACTGCAAGCTCCACCCTATTCTCAACCGAGCTCACCAAGAAAGGATCCCAGTCACCAGAGGCAAGGATGGAGAAGACTATCACACTGTCTTGTACCAAATCCATGCCAACTACTATTCAGCCCATTGCGACTACTCGCTCTGGTTCGAGGGTCAAAATCACGGCACTGTTGAAGTCGAATATCTCTAAGGCTTCGCCAAACAAATCTGCCTGAAATCGTCTGCCTCAATTGAAGACAAAAGGAGCTCTCGAGGCCTCGAAAGATTGCCTCTTGGGGATCTATACTGCAATCGCTTGATTTTCTGCGTCTTTCTATTCTTTGAACACTGTGGATGAAAAAGGACCGAAAATGGAGATAAAGGGGATTCGAGAGGGATCGGCAAAGAAGCGAGGAATAATCTTTGCGATAGTTACAGCTCATCAATCGCACTGATTTCCCACTTTATTAACGCACTCCTCTGCTAATAGTCTCAAAAATAGAAGCAATGCCCCGATAATAGACACCTGAAAACCGGGGCGCTTAGCTATCACATGATCCAGTGAGCACCAGCCACATTTGCGCCACAGTAAATTCGCCGCGAATCGAAATCCACAACGGATTCGCCTTCGAAAGAAATCCCAGAAATTCAGCATTTACCGCTTCACACCACCACACACCATGTCTAAACTCGGGAAGTGAGTAGCGACTACCCAAACCCTCTCCGGACCTCTGCTCTAACCATTTTCTTTTCAAACTTTACAGCCGTGCCGACTGGGCCGACGATGAGGAATTCGATGACCCCTCCGCGCTCCCCGCGCAACAAGTGATCACCAACAAAGATGGCACCAAGACCGTCATCTCCTACCGCTTCAACGATGACAACAAGAAAGTGAAGGTTACCCGCCGCATCAAGACCTCCGTCGTCCGCGAACATGTCAACCCCCCAGGTCGCCGAGCGCCGCTCGTGGCCCAAGTTCGGTCTCGAGAAGGGTCACCCTCCCGGTCCTACATTCGATACCACTTCCGTCGGCGAGAACATTGTCTTCCGTCCCAGTGTTAACTGGAAGGCTCAGGCCAAGGAGGCCGAGAAGGATGGCGGCGAGAAGGGCAGCATGAAGGATCAGCTCAAGGACAAGAAGGTTAAGTGTCGTATTTGTTCCGGAGAGCATTTCACAGCTCGCTGTCCTTTCAAGGACACCATGGCTCCCGTCGAGGAGCCTACTGGTGGTGCCGAGGGTGCTGCCGAGGAGGACAAGACTGGTACGCTCGGCCAAGGTTCTGGAGGCTACGTTCCTCCTCACATGCGGAAGGGTGGTGCTGCTGCTGGCGAGAAGATGGGTGGACGCTTCGAGAAGGACGATCTTGCAACTCTCCGTGTCACAAACGTATGTTTTCTTGATATTGATGGCGCTTTGCAGCCCCAATTGCTAACTTTTTCTTCTTTGCTACAAACAGGTCAGCGAGTTGGCAGAGGAACAAGAGATGCGCGATCTCTTCGAGCGCTTCGGTCGTGTCACCAGAGTTTTCCTTGCCCGGGACAGAGAGACCCAGAGGGCCAAGGGCTTCGCTTTCATCTCCTACGCCGATCGGGCGGACGCAGAGCTTGCTTGCGACAAGATGGACGGCTGTACGTTTTGCTTCTCCCAGCTATTTTTTTCCAGGAACCCCCCAAAACTAACATACACTCTTTCCAGTCGGTTACCGCCACCTTATCTTGCGTGTGGAGTTCGCGAAGCGCACTTGATCTGTTCTTCACCTTTTTTACGACATTTCTCGCTCCCTTCCCTTTTTTTTTTTCAGGCGGGCCTACCTAACCCCTTGGGTGAAGCTCTTTTCTTTTTGTACTGTATGATTGATTGATCATGATGATGCCTAAAAAGACACCATATCATTTTTTTTGCATTTGTCAGTCTATACAAAAGCAATGGTTGAGAGATTCTTGCATGATCCGTCTTGTTAATAGAGAATGGGTTGCGTACCCAGTTCCAGCATACTCCAATGAAATTATGGTTACTGCTTTGCTTTGTTTATCTTGCATTGTTTTTACTTGCCCCTTGTCCCGTGTTTGGACTCTAGATTGGCCATTCCGTCGAGTATTTCGCAGGGTGCCATCCAAAGCTTTGCCTCCGGTCATCTTCAAATTTCCTAATCGTTTCGTTGCGGCCGACTCACGCTGCCTGCTGACAGGGATGTCGATGAGTTGGTACTATGCTTATGACTCGGCGACATCAATACCGGTGCGCCCGAATCATGAGTCTTCATGTGAACATTCAGGGGTTCCTGTCATCTGGCCGGATGTCATCCTCGTAAGAAACAGCTCGATAAGCTCAACAATAGTACCAGGGCAGTGCGCGAATAGTCGAGAGCTGGAAATTGACTTTGCTCCCTGCAATCGACGCCGCAGATGACCGTTCGGTCGAAGTAATGACAAGGTTGCGCCCCCGAATGCACGTTCGGGACTTTCTGCTCCCGGATCCCCGATTCTGTACTGAACTGCAACGGTGTAGATCTATCTAGATCTCCACGAGCGTATGGTCTCTCGACAGCATGAAAGGGTAATTTCCCGAAGGCGGATTGGGGTTGCATCGCGTCGTAGTGATTCCAAACAGGCAAGAGACTTGGAAAAGCTTACCTGGGATCTCGGCATTTGGCCCCATCACTGACCCGCTAGGAAAACTTCATGTTAGCAGGGGAAGGGCGTGATTAACTTTTTGGGTCTCTCTCCTGCGACTCCACAGCATCACTAGGCCGCCAGATTTTGCCTGCGCCGCCACTGCGACATGCAGTATAACGGGGAAGCACATGAGAAAAAGGCCTTTGTGATGCTGTCAAGTCCCAGTGACCGTACGGAAGACCCGGATTTTGATTGGAGACGTCGTGAGACAATCCCGACGCAATCGACGAGAAGGGTGTTTCTTCGTAAGTCTAACCCTGTCGGCTTTGTGCCGTTGAGCAGATTTTTCGCCTTGGCCCTTCTCCCGTGCTACCAGCTTTCGTGTCCGGGTTGGCTGCGCTTCGTCAGGAATGGCTGGTAAGGGCTGAGACAGATTGCCACGGCGTTGAGTCAAGAAAGATGCTTTTCTGTACTGTACGGAGGGTTGGGAATGCTCTCGCCGGTCTGCAGCCGACGCCATCCAAAATATATTGGCCTCCTGACAAGCTTCTGAGAGTCTGCGGCCGATGGCAGGCCAATTAGCATCCGTTCAGAAGCCCGCGATCCTTGTTTAATTGAAGTATCTCGGGACTGGCATGTTCAATCCTTGTCGGGGGTACGTTAGAGCGGTGCATCTGCCCATGACGCTCTTGCAGCACCTCTACCGTGATGCGATCGCCATCGATGGCTGGAGATCACAGGTGAACAAAGTTAGAGATGACCAGACTGGCATGACGTCCAATGAGAGCCTCGTAGTGTCCTGGTAAAGTCCCCTTCCTCTGCACCGCAGTGTGACGGGGGCGAGGCAATCGATCGATAGAGTAACGATATGGTGGAGTGGACTAACGGAGATCAGGCCGATAGCCGTCCCAAGTAACCCTTCTATCTCTGCCACACGTTAGCGTTATACATCACAAGGCGCTAAACTTTTTGTTCAAGGCCAGACGGAGAGAAATGGGATTCGGTTTCGTCGGTTTCCACACGGCGATCATTGAACCGTTACTATCGAGTTACGGAAGATCGCCTGTCAACAATTGGCCTCGCAGGAAGTTACCAAGTTCTATCTCGGTACCTGACTTGAACTTCCGATGCATTTCAGCCCCCAGTGAGTGGAGAAGGGAGTCTCCGGTGTGATCAACAACAGTCTCGAACCTTAACGCAACGGACAAGGCTTAAAGCCATGGATCCATGGATCCCGGTGGATAGCATGAAAGTTAGCCCAGATCAGCCGCGCATGGAATTCATGGGGTGCTTTCCAACGACCTTGCCCGGTGTTGTCTAGGAGGAGCTCGGACAATGCTGACACGGGCCCCCTCCCCGATGCGATGATTTGAGAGTTTTCCTGGGATTGACGGTCCTAGACCATCGGACGTGATGAGCTAGGGTGACAAAGCTAGGGCCAGGCAGTCTAGAATATCACCGGTTGCCCTTGGCGTTATAACACGCCGCTTGTCTCCAGCCAATGGCAGTTGCATATATTTCAAGTAAAATGCGGGCGCAGTGGGAAGACGCTCCCAATGCTCTTCAACATCCTTTTTCTTCTCTTTGAACCTCAACATGCGGTTGGATGCAGCGAGAGAGAGAGATGGCCGGAAGATTTGACGAGGAGTCGCACAGGATGCTGCCACGTCGAATTCTCCAAGGTCAATTGTTCCCATCCCGGACGAAGGAGTGGCACGTGCACTGGACTGGGTTGTCTCAGGAGAATATGCAACGGTGAACGGTCTTCTAAACTCTCGCTCGGGTGATCTGCTGGGGCTGCAGCTCCAAGCGAGGGATGATTAGGATTCATGCAATAGTGCAGCGTTTCTTTCATTCGAGCCATTATGAGCGCACGACCAGGTACACCTGAGAAAAGAGAGGTACCTGCAGTGTAGGGACGTGCTAGCTCTCCACGAGCGGTTAGGGACCTTTCGAACTGCTCTGTTCTTATGTATCTCATGATTCAGTGCCAGGTACTCGGCTCATTCCGTCTGTGATGAATCATGACTGGTGGAGAACGCCTGTGGATCGCGGTTCGGGTACGGGTGGATCGAGCAATGTACCGGGACCGAAGCTTTGAATTATCACTGAGAGGGCCACCTGGAGGAAGCAGAGGAGCTAAAAGTCCTACAGAATAATGGGTGTCTCCCCAAAGGCCCCATAGGCCTGAAGAGGGGGGGGTTATACACTCACTGCAGCCCCAGACTATGTCAGCTATGGACATTCTATAAGGCTTAATTGTGGAGATGGGCACACTCCCATTCACCGAACCCAGCGAGGAGTCTATGGATCGCACACGTGCCGCCCATAACGCCCGTGGAAATCAAGCTTATCTTTTTTCCATTTCATCATTTGGTCACATGGGAATCGCGGCTCCTGAAGAATGGTGCTCGTCATCTCCTGCACCTAGGACTGCATCTGGTACTGTCTCATTCAAGGCATGGAAAAGAAAACCGCCCTGCATACCCTATCCGACCCTCCATACCTTCCATATTCTCCAATGATCAATGACTAGGGCCCAGTCCTATATCGATCAGATCCCCCATGGTTGAGCCAACCATACACTGCCGAGTGCTTTTTTCATCGCTTTCTGCCATTCGCGACCGTGCTCAGCTAGCCTCCTGCACCACGAGCCGATCGTCCAGCCACCAATCCGCTTTCCGTCAACTCGATCAAGACTAAGGCTGATCGCGCTGGGGGGCTCCACCCAGGCTCTTGGGATCTATGCTTTCACATTTCTCGGGTCCTAGCCAAAGTGGACTTCGTTGGATGGGCAAGTTTGGCCTGCGAGTGGGCCGAGCGATCACCATTCTGGAAGACACTATCGGGTACGGACCGCACCCGCTGCACCTCCTTCGGGATATCCTAGTGGATCCACTCTTCCCGAATCGGGGGTCTGTGATTACATCGCCGCCCAGCACGCGTCCTAGACTCCTCTCCGACGGCGTAATCGAATTGGTCCGGAAAATCATGGCCCGCGCTGCCTGACCGTTTTTTTCTCTCGCCCAAGGCATCTGTCGGTGAGACGACTGCGAAGCTGCACAATGCACCTGGCTGAATGAACTGTGCCGATCGGTTCGCTTAGCTTCTTGTTCCATTCCTGAAGGGCAGCAGTATATCTGGCATGAACCCGATCTTGCTAGTCACTCGTTACTAGTGACTAGTTGCAAAGACCCTGTCCGAGTTGCCCCGGGTGTATCGGACCTATGCAAGGCGTCTTGGGTCTCCTCATGCTTGCTTTTCTTGCCACGGGCGAATGGTGACTCTTCAGGCCATCGGCATGGTCTATTGGCTTGCAGACCCCAAAGTCTGATCCATCCACTACTGTCATGCGGCTGGGGGGTCTGCACGGGTATCCTGGGGGACGATCATCTCCTCCATCCTTTCTAGTTTCATCTTATTTGGTTGTCCTGCAGCGTCCCGTCCACCGGGTGTTCGCGCTGGCACATCTGACTGAAGGACTGTAATGGAAAACACATCCCTTCTGCCGGCTATTGATTCGCGTACGGCGCTCATACCTACCGTAAGTTCGAATCGGCCACTGTCCGTGCAGGTTCGGGTCCCAGGGCACGTAACATGGAGATGTCGACCAATGCCATGCTCCTTGAACAATCAAACTGTCTAGAGCTCGGACCAATGAATCGATGCTACTGTTTCCTCTGGGCATCTCGCACTTTCCTCCCCCCCCACCTCCTCTAACCCATTCTACGCTCCATTCGGCTGGTCTCCATCTACCGGGGACAAGGATCACAAAAAACGTAATTGCAAAAATAAAAAAGTAAAATAAATAACATCCCAGTATTCTGGATCCAGACGGAGACAAAGCCTGGATCTTTTGTACATTACGGAAATTCCTTGGCCAAGGCAGATCATGGTTGGACCCCTATTGCAAAGTGCCTGCTGCCACCCACTGTCGCCTTGCCGAATACAACTGTATTTCACTGTTCCTGGCAGACCCAGTTTCTCCAACAACTCGTGGCCACCATTTGTCGTCAGGTCGTGATGGTCTGAGGCTATTTTGGGAGATCTCTCGACGAGCTTACCTGGGTTCGACAAAAAAAGGGCCCCCCCCCCGGCCCGGTATCATCGAGAAACAAATATCAATTGCATGTCTCGTCCGATCAAGGCCAATCTTGTTCCCCAGACTTCTATATCCACCCCCAACAGCACTGATATCCCACCCATATACTACGCTGGCGCCCCGAGAGCCTGAGACAAAGGTCTCCGTTGCTGCATTGCTAGTCCATCTTTCCCTAAGACTGGACTGCTCGCCCCGATCTGGGTTTGCAGGCCTTTGAAGACTTGAGCCTTCTGTTGCATTCCAGGTCTTCCGCGCACATTTGTTCACAGGGCAATTGTCCCGAATTGCGTCAGTGAGTTTCCCTTTTAGACTCTTTTGCATGTTTTCAGATTAGGTGCCTTGTGATCTTTATCCTTCACTTACTTCGACATCTCTTACTCTCTTACCTACACAAGTTCTCCCTTCCCAGATCGTGAGGGTTTCAGTCTTAGATCGAGTTCTGAAGGGAAGCCTTGATTGCTGGATGAGAGCAAATCCCGAACAGGAAGTCCTCCCAGTTTTCTATCGACGAGTGACGCACCCCTCTTGTCTTGATCACCCGATTTCGACAGCTACTTCTTCCGCAAAGGATCAAGAAATACTCCCGTTGCCTAGACTCATGTTCTGATTCTCATCTTCGCTCCTTGGTGTCCCTTGGTGGCTCTTCCTTTTTTTGTGCCTCACTTTCTTTGCCCTCTTGACACTACATCTCTTCTTCCGCTACCTTGCACCTTTTTGCATTTTTCTCTGCCTTCACTTTACGTCGAGTATTTGTTGGATGTGCGTTTCGTGAACTGTGCCCTGACGACATATACTTATCAGCCCTGATCCCGCTGAGAACGTGGTCGACCGACGGCTTGTCTGATCTACCTGTGAGCAAATGCCGACGCTGCACGGATCCTGGACCTGGTTACTGACACAACTGTCATTCTAGGGAGTTTTGTCTCGCCACTCTCAGAATTCCAAGGCCAAGCGACAGCTCGGGCGTCTCGCCGGTGTCACCTCACCTAGCTATACTTCAGGGTCCTCGACGCACCTGGCATCAGCACGATCAAGATGAATCCCTGTAGGTCTCCACCTGATCCCCTGCGGTTTTTTCTCTTTCACCGTCTTGCGGCTGGTGTGATATTGTGGCATGCTTTCGCCGTCAAGGTATTCAGTTTCCGAGATTCTAATAGACACCATCTAGCCACTCTACTTCCGGAACCATTCACCATGGACTGCCCAGTCACCACAGAAGGAGACTATATCGGCTCCCATATGACCGGATTCCCTTTTGACGACGACGAGTGCCAGCGAGTCGGAGCGCTCGCCTCGATACCTGTCACCAACGGCGTGCGGTACCATGCGCAACAGCCTGTGATGCAGGACTTACAGTAAGTCATTTCTGTTCGCTTGTAATCCGGGCTGCCTTTGCACTCCACTCGGCCTCTTGAGCCCCTTGTCGTTGTGCTTCCTCCGGGTCCGGGCAGCTTGGACTGGCGTCCAGCCTGTTTCGGTACCTTCCATACTGATCCGCAACCTGCATGTGTTAATTCCGATGTGTTGCCCTTGTCTATCTACACCCGTGGGGTTTTTTTTCTTGGTCTTGCCTCTTGCCTGATCGAGCGCCCGTCTACATTTTCTTCTTACACATTGCGGTCTTCGCGCTAGCCTCGGCTTCCCATGATCTTTCTTCCCAGGTTGCCTATTGTGAAGTTCGCTTCAACAATCCTTCGTGGTGATGGAATGTACTAAAGGCATTGCTTATTCATATAGTTATCCCGGCTCCGCTGCTCTTTCAATGACTCCTCCAGATTCCTGTTCTGGTATGATCTTCTCGACGGACGATCAAGACCATTCCCAGCTGACTGATCTCGATCTTCGACATAGATTCTTTCTCGCCAACCTCTGGTCCTATTTTTCCACATTTAAACCAGCACCAGCATCCATTCGACAGGATGGGAGAGTTTCGAAGAGTCCCGGCTCTGTAAGCATTGACGTTCTGATTTAAATACCCATGAAGTACTAACAGGCTTTGCTTTTTTTTTCCAGTCATCCTCCTGCTATGCAGACAGCTTCGCACGCCAGTTCCATTCCAGCATTGATGGGGAGAAGTAACGCCTTCTCTTCAACATACACCCTGCATCGAGGCATGGGAATGCCACTGACAGGTGTGAATGATGTCTCCCGTGCTCATCAATACTCGGGTACTTCTCGAGTTTTCGAAGGCATGATGGATCGGAATCAGACTCCCATCTTCCAGCAGCCGATAGCAGAGCCTACACCGAGATCTCAAGCCCAGGTGGAAGCCCCGCCTTTTGAAGAGACGAGTGTCCTCGAGGCAATCGTAGCGGAAGTTGGGGGCACTCAGCAGACTGTAAAGCCCGAGGTCCAAGCAAAGATTGGACGAGGCTTCTTTTCATCTGATGGGAAATGGACGTGCTATCGACGAAATTATTTCGCCGTCACTTGCAGTTTCGGTCTTCATCCTTGGCCTTCCACCGTCCCTCTCTACATTCGTCACCCAGATCAGACTCTCGAACCCATTCGAGGATTTGCCATGTCCATTTCCGCCATTGTCAATGGACAATATGGGGATACTCGAGAACTTGTGCAGCACACCCCTAAAAGGGACAAGTTATCGGAGCGCAAGCCATGTCGAATTCCGCTTCAGCCCACTCCGCCTCCATCACTCGGCGGTTCAACTGCAAACCATGGCCATGCTGGTTTTCCGTTGGGTACGCACTCTATGGATTACAACACATCTTTCACAACAGCTCCTCAGCCTTGTGCCCAGCCCGCGACTTCCCATATGTTCGAGCGAATTCAATTCCAGAAGGCCACTGCCAACAACGGCAAGCGCCGGGCTCAGCAGCAATTCTATAACTTGGTGGTTGAGCTCCACGCTGAGGTTTCTGGGCCTGTGGGTAGTGACCCACAGTGGGTTCTGATTGCTCGGAAACACTCACACCAAATGGTTGTGCGAGGACGCTCGCCCGGTCACTACAAGGACGGGCGTCGCGATAGCACTACGAGCATGGGGCCTGATGGAAGCAGCGGCGATGCAACTGGAGGGCTTTCCCATGGTATGGGTCAAACTGCACGCTCGCCTCTCATGATGTATGACGGACACCGGGGTAGCGTACCATACGGACGACCAGACTACCGCCAGATGTCCACCGCAGAGCACTCCCCTCTAAGTGACAGCCCACTGATCTCGTCATCGTCTTCATCCGCCTTTGATTACTCCTTGATGAACGACACCATGGACCCAATGGATACGATGAAGACGGCAGCTACTCTGGACCCGTATCAGGATTCGATATTTGCAGGGGTCCCCAATCACCATCGCTCGAGCGCAGGCGGATATGACCCGGTCTACTCGACCTATAGCCGTTACGATCCAATACAGAATCCGCATAGCTTGTGCACCTAGGTGTCCCAGGTTCTCTTACTTTTCTCCTTCATATTCGATGTGACTTATACGTTGAGGGAAACTTTACTGCAGAATGCAGACAGGGCAATGCGACTGTGGATTGGTGCAAGACGGCGCGGTTGGCAAATGGGTTGGCAAATGAATTACGGGATTTTGGGGTTTCAGGAATATTTGGTGATTCTTGCGTTTCGTTTTTTCTTTCTTGTCTTTATTGCTTGGCAAATGTTTCTTCTGTGTCATTTTTTTTGCCTATTCTGATATCTTTTCATTCCTCCGGAAGGACCATGCCGGCAGGTTGACATGAGCTGCAGAGGACGCAAGCTCCCGTGCCTCCAGCTCAAACCGAATTGACAAGCCTCCCCTGCTTTCATGTTATTTTTCTTTCTTTGTATTTTTGTTCTGAACCATTTTTACACTTCCGCAATCTTGACTACGAGAGATGACGCAGAATTGCACTGCATTTTATTGCCAAGCATTCTCCTCTGTCTTCTCAAGTATCACATCAATCTAACCCTTCCGTTATAGCCTCATTTCTTCCCATGCAAGTGGCGCATTTTCCCCGATTCGCCCTGTCGGCCAGGAACCGTTATGTTTCTGCAGTCCTGGTCCAGCACTTGATTCTACCCAGGGTGTTTGCAGGGAGCAGCTCGGTTCTCATTTCAATGGGCAAATGGGGGCGCGCCTCTTTCAGCATTTTATTGGTCCAGTTCCCACCGCAAATGCCCCTGACCAAAAGAGGATAGCCGGGGGGGGGGAACGCCTGGTGGATCTGGATCTACGATGGGCAAGTTTGTCCGAGTAAGCAACACATGAGCTGGGGTTACATAGAGACAAGATTAAGGGACGTCGAGTGGCGCAGGATGTGTTGGGGGGGGGGGCGATCTTGTTTTACTGTTTTAATTCCTTTTTCTTTTTCTTTGTTTTTTTGGGTCTCATTTACTCTTAAGGCTATTTCAAGAAGGTCTTTTAGCGGGATGGATGAATACTTGGAACTTATTAAGTATCCGGTAGATGGCAAGATGCAGCATGAGGAAACCCAAACATGAACAACGAGCAGCAACCCATTTGGGCAGGCTTTCTTTTCTATCACCCGAGAACTAAATCCCGGTAAACACGACCATGATGATTCCAGAGAAGGTAAGGGAGACTACGAAAAATCCCCCTCACCAATGCATATGTCTGTGTTGGTCTGTAAATGTATGTGCAGATCCCTGATCCGCCCCTCATCGATGATGCGTGCGCACGTAATTTCACTGCTCGGCTTGCGGCTACAAGATGCAGGGTACTTTGGTCTGGTGTCCAAGCACCCAGGTCTAGGGTATAATTCAACGTTGAGCTTTTTTTTTTTCTTTTTTCACTCTACCTTTTCTTTTTTCCTATTCGAGCGTGGCAGTACAAGTATAAGGCGCTGAAGTAGTGTGTTCACGCTAACCCTTCGATCCCGACAAATTTGGTCTCCCCCCCCCCCAACGACAGAAACAAGATCACTTTGTTTCTTTTTTTCCAAGTGTCAAACGTTCATGGTTCGCTGAAGACGTCCTGATCGGACCAGAATCCTACCTGTCTGTTTGCGAGGTAGTAGAGAACTTCGCCTGGCCTGAGACAAGACTGTGTTCAATGCATCTCGACGGTACCTTCTTCCAATCACTAATGTCACTAATTTAAATGTTGGAAAATCTCAGGATCACCCGATATCCAACTGTGCGGGATCTGTCCTAGTGTCCAATGCATCTGCACGTCGTACAAGGGCCATGGGCCGGAGAAATACCATGGATTCAGCACCGACCGTTCTATAAAGGATGTCAGAACATATTCAGAAGATGAATATTCTGCTCCTTCAATGATCTGACTTTCAGAATATGGAGATTAACGTACTTCAAGAGATTCCCGGGGCTTCAAGCTCTGTCCGTAAGGCGGAATGGAATCTCGACTCGTTGAGTATAGGTTGCACAGCAGTTGACAAAGATGACTGAGTCCGAGATGCAAACCTTGCTGCCTTCAACATTCATTCTCGGATGTAAATGTATCTGCAGTTTCAAGACAGTGATTTTCGTTTAAAGGTATAGATGTCGACGACCTCAGGTGAACTATACTCTACTTGCAGAAATGACCTTAATCCTGGCTCGACGGGCATGCACATCGCTGCCCGTAGACAAATTTGGCTTGAACCCTGGGTTGGGAGTGCAACGGGTCGAACTTTTCGCGTAACATTCCTCTCGATAACCATGCGAAACGGGGATTTTCTTTTTTCTTTTCTCGCGTGTATCTAGGTACCTTCTTCTGCTCTCTGGCGTCAGGTATGGGTCGACTTCACTGGGCTCGGGCGCTGCAGCTCGGAATTTAAACCTGTCCGATGCATAGTCCGCTCTGGTTGACTGGACGGTGTTGATAGCCAGCTAGCATGAAGAGCGAGACTTTCTCCATTCACATCAACGGCTTCTGTCTCACCTGCACGGAAGAGACATCCTCCTTGGGCACGTGCGGTAGGTTCATGGATAGGCTGGTGAGTTGGGGTTGGCACCAGGTTGATTGGGGATTTATTGTATACTACATAGGGCATGACTGATTCAATTGAGAATTGTGTTACGGACATGAGAGAGGCCAGGATGTAGGTATGATTTGAAGTATTCCCTTTTCCGTCTAGGTGAAGAAATTGCCCCGAGAACCATATTGCAAACCCCCTTCGGATGGTTTGCGTATCTATTTGCTTTTCCATACCAGAGACCTAGAATGCCATCGCAGTACAAGTTCAATTCATACACTGAACCGGGGATAGCCATGCAAAAGCCTCAATGATAGAATAATGAGAAGACCCAAAAAAAAAGAGTCCAAGTCTACAGCAGGTCTCCCGGTCTCGCAGTCCCCCACCCAAGTTACCAGCTTAACCATGCCCCCCCCCTCATCCCAAGGCCGGTCCTCGCGACTCCCAAGCCGGAAAATAAATCAGCCCACGATTGGTACATCAAAGCCGAGCCTGGCAAGCAAAGTCACGATCTGGACCAGACAATCCACCGTCCCTTCAGCCGCCAGAGATATTCCCGACGTGCAGCTCCTGTGGGCCCAGCGCAGCCCCAGAGGAGACATCTTTCCCTCCGAAGCATCATGCAATATTCGGAATGTTGACAAGCTTAGCACAGGCGGGGGCTCAGGCTCACGGGTATGGATTTGGTCTAGCTTGTTGCGCGCGTGACTTCAGCGATGTTGAACTGGTGCTCCGACCTCGTTGTTGTTTTCGATGAATCCCGAGTGCGGGCCAGCTTCTAAATCCCGGACCGAAGAACATGTCTTGAGAGGGAGGGGCATGGATGCAGTGCGATTGGGGAGGTGGGGAGGTTGTTCCGAGTATTGGGTATGTTTGCGTTCAAACATTGAGAAATTCGAGAAATTCGAGAAGTGCGTATAGCCCATCTTGTTCCGATCTGCGTCCAATTCACATGCGCATGATCTCGCATGGTCTCTGGTACCAACCGAGACATCCAGTACCCCGTCAAAGAAGTCTCGACAGTCCGACTTAATTGACGCGACTCTCCTTCTCGTCTCCTCCGACACGGGAGATTCGAACGGCCAATTGCCTATCCAAAGCTTCTTGTTCCTCCTTCGTAGACGCCATACCCAGGGCATTCTCGACTTGGGGTGTGGTCCACAGTCCGATGGACGCCCAGATCATGACACCGACGCCGAACAGGGCTCGGGTTTTGGGGGTGAGGGAGCGGTACGTGCTGTGCGAATTTGGTTTTAGTTCCGAGACTAGATGCTAGAGACATGATCTTTTCCATTCCACATACCTCCACAGAGACATGATGCCGGTTCGAGTGATGTGTCAGTTCTGAACAAGGCCCGCTGTCGAGCTTTGGATGTTGAAGTCACGTGTCAGCAACGAGCCATTTCAGGCTGGGGCCTGAGGCTCTCGCCAACCTCGCGACGGAAGTACCCTGCCGATACAAGGCGTGGACGGATCTGCCAGGTACCTACCAGGTGCTTGTACTACCTGTGCAGTGGATAGGGTTTGGGCGTCATGTAGTGGTGTAACCGTGGCTGAAGTATACAGCGTGGAGAAGTACTCTTGGATGAGTTCTACGGGCGTCTACGAGGCGTCAAAGTATGTGTGAGAGAGAAAGGTATTGACTTAGAACTAAAAGCTATGTTGAACGCAAGCCAGTCGCAATGTCATGTCCACATTCGTCACTGTCTCGTCCACATCTTGGCCAAGGGCCATCCACAGAAAAAGGCAAAAGTCATATATCACAGGGCTGGGGAGATCGCATGGTTAAAAATCAATCGCGGTAGAGGGTAACAGAGCGGAGAAACAGAGAAGAAAACAACACGTGATAAACCCGAAACAGCAGGTGCGCATCGTCAGCTTTTGTTTTATTAAGTTATTTCTTGCCGTAGGCCTTGTCAATTTCAGCCTTGTATGTGTCGACGATCTTCTTGCGCTGGAGCTTCTGAGCAGCAGTCATGAAACCCTGGGGATGGTGTTAGCTGTCAAATGTGTGTGTTTTCGTTCCTTGATAACCACTTACGTTGTGGGGGGTCCACTCCTCATCGGACAGAACAACGCCGCTGATGATCTCAATACCACGCAGGCCACCCGCGCGACCGGAGTTCTGAAGCTGCTGCAGAACCAGGCGCTGGAGCTTCTCCTTGTGCACAAGAGTCTCAAGGGTGTCACCCTCAATACCGTTCTCGCTAGCAATCTTCTTCAGGGCAAGTTCAACGGGCACGATAATAGCGATCGGCTTGTCCTGGTCCTCGGCAGCGTAGACACAGATGTTGCCAACTACCGGACATGAGCGGTAGACGGACTCGAGCTTCTCGAGAGCGATATACTCGCCGTTCAAAGTCTTGACCAAATTCTTCTTGCGGTCGATGATGCGCAGGTGGCCATTGGAGTCGAACTCGCCGATATCGCCGGTCATGAACCATCCGTCCTCGGTCAACGCGCTCTTAGTCTCCTCCTCGTTGTCGAAGTAGCCAGAAGTCACACTGCCACCGCGGATGAAGATCTCACCCTGAGGGGGATTGTTCTTGGTAAGGTATCCGGCATCGGGGAAGTCCACGAGCTTGATCTCCACCGAGGCAGGAATATCTCCCAGGACGTCGGGGTTCCACGCCAAGGGGTCGTTCAAAGCACCCATGGCGGAGGTCTCGGTCAAACCGTAGCCACTAATCATGGGAGCAATGGCCATGGACAGGAACCGCTGGGTATCCTTGGAGATGGGGCCACCGCCATTCATCATAATGCGCAGGTGGCCACCGGTAGCCTCCTTGAGCTTCTTGAAGACAATAGAATCGAGGATGGAGGCACCGACGCCCGCACCCGGGAAGCCGTTGTTGAGAAGGAAGTTCTTGGCAGCCATAGCACCCCAGAACATGCTCTTGATGATAATGCTGTTCTTGTTCAGGTTGTTCAAGACACCCTTCTTCACAGTCTCCCAAACGGCCGGAACACCAACCAGGATAGTAGGTTGGAACTCACGAATGTCACCCTTGCAATTGCGCATGGAGGCGTCTGACAGAGTACGTGGGTTACCGTAACCCATGCAGCCACCCCAGAACAGGCACAAGTTCTCGAACATGAACTCCAGAATATGAGCCTGCGGCAAGTATGTGAGCAGAGAGTCCTTGGGGCCAATGTAGGGTCCGACGATCTCGTTGACACCGGCGGTCGCGGCGATCACGTTGGCTTGAGTCAGCGAGACACCCTTGGGCGGACCCGTAGATCCGGAAGTGTACATGATACAGCAGAGATCCTCGGGCTTAGGCGGCACGGGGTCCACGGGGTTCTCCACGCCGCTCTTGCGCAGATCCTCCACGCTAAGCACCGTGACCTCGGGGAAGTCGCTCTTGAGCTTGTCAAGGTCGGCCTGCTTCGCCTCGTCATCGGTGTTGTAGATAATATACTTGATAGAGGGAACCTCACCCAGGACGTTGATCAGGGACTTGATCAAACCAGGGTCGAGGAAGATGGCAGTGCTGGAGGTCTGCTTCAGGGAGTGCTTCAAGCCTTCCTCACCGAGGGTATCATAGGCAGTGACAATGGTGATTGATTGAGACGCGGCACCGTGCGACATGGCCAGCCAGTGTGCACTCGTCGCGCCGTAGAGGTGAATGCGGCCATCCTTCTCGAGGCCGAGCTGGCGCAGACCGCTACCGAGCTGCAGGCAGAGCTGCTCGTACTCGAGGAAAGTCATGTAGGTGTACCCGCTCTTCTCAAAGTAGGTCCACTGCTTTTCAACCTCCTTCTCAACACCATCGACCATCTTCTTGACCTTTTTGTTCTCGGTGTGCGTCTTGATCAGCTTGCGGCTGCCAACGGCCTTGTTGTTTCCAAACAGGCGGGCGGAACGGCGGAAATTGTCATAAGTGGTCGTGACATCCTCAGAAGGGCGCACGATCAACTTGTCCTTCGCGGCCGGGTGCCGACGGGGAATGGTCTCCCCCTCGACGGGTTCGTAGCCGGTCGCCTCGACCGAGAAGGGGCCCTTCTTGACCATGCGCGGCTGGATGTGTAAGTCGCGCTTCGACATGTTTGCGGTATCTGTAGCGCTGAGAAGAATAGCAGAAGGGAGGTTAAAGAAGTTCCGGCAATGGGATCAGTGGCTTGGAAAACTCCGCTAGCAGTGACGTTAGTGGATTCCGGACTCTGGGGGCGGCAAAGGAGCTTGAGGGTTCGGCACACGACTTACCCGATGCCCAAACAAAAAGGAGAAGGAGCTGCAGCTTGGAGAAACGAAAGAGAAAGTCGTGAGCAGGGGAAAAGGGAAACGAGGAAGATGGGCAGAACAAGCTACCTCAGGTGCTAATTTAGGTCCAGGGAAGTCCGTCCGCGATGTGGCTGGGCTCCGACAAGATGACGCACATTCCTAGGGTCGTCGAGGGGCCGCTTGTCTACGGGACTTGGGGCCTTTATTAATTTACACAAACAAAGCTAATAGTACCCAGCGTACCCATAGTTCGATTCACATTGATACGAGCTATGGTCCTGTGCACTGTCCGTCGGGAACATCGGTGTCTTTGAACTGTTTTAGGGTCCGTCTCGTCTAGCTAGAGTTTAGTGTTGTTCCGGCAGATCAGTTTCCGTTTTGTTTTTCTGTTGGGCGGGAGCCCCAACACATCGGAGTGAAGTTACCTAGTGAAACACATCTGAATATCGACTCTCTTAGCTATGAGGAACCAGGCAGATCGGGGTATGAGACATCTGGTCGATGCTCGTGGGGACTTGGTCCCGTGATCTAGTAGTGTTTGGAGGAGAAAGCCCTTGGTCAGTTTGACAAATACTCATCATGAACACCCAACTCGCCGAGTTCCTCGCCATTGGTGAGGAGGTCACGGATGCTGAAGAGGGTACGCCATGTCATTCAGAATTGAGTTATGATAGACCAACTCATGTCATTATAGAAGCCTTCCTCCTCTTCAGTCAAGAGATCCCCACAGGCAACCTGGGGTTCGTTGACTCCCGCGCTACAACCGTCGATGTGACGATCCGTGGCAATGAGTACTCAATCCACCAGTCTCCGACGTTGCTCGCGTCGTCTCGTGCCGGAGGCACAACGGGCGCCGGTAAGTACATGATCTGCGCCTCCCTAGCCTGCACTCCGTGCTTCCCAAGCCCATGCACGGACCGCAGTTTGTCTTATTTTCCGAAGGGGTCCCAGGGGGATAAATTCAAGCCTCGGCTTCGGTCTGGGCCTTGTCATTTGAAATTCATGCTCGAACTATTGTCCATGGGTTCCAAGTCATACATGGCCCGATTTTCTACCTCTGCTGTAGACACTTCTAGCAACACATCACCGGGTACTAACCACATGAATCCCCCTGCATAGTCCTCTGGAAAATCACACCCCTCTTCGCCGAATGGATATCCTCCCCTTCCAACCCTCTCCGAACACACGGCTTCCTTTCCTCGGACTCCGTGGTAACCGAGCTCGGCTGCGGCATCTCTGCCCTAGTCGCCTTGGCCTTGGCCCCCATCGTGCAACACTACATCGCCACGGACCAAGAGTACGTCCGGCGTCTATTTCGCACCAATATTGACGCCAATGCGTCTGTGAATGCCCCTCGGCCAAGCAAAGGGGTGGTAAAGCTAAAGGCAAGTCTGCGCCTAACAAACAGTCCGTCGGGAACCCGACGGTTTCCAATATCACATTCACTACCCTGGACTGGGAAACGGATCAACCCGGCTTGCTCAAAGCTTGTATCGAGTCTGATACCAGTGGCCGTGATACGCGTCGTAATAATGAAGACGACGAAGAGGAAGATTTGGGCTTCGACCTTGTGCTCTCTTGCGATTGTATCTATAACGAAGCTCTCGTCGCACCATTCGTACGCACATGTGCTGAAATTGCTCATTTACGCCCTGCGTATAATCCTGCGGAGGAACCAGTCTCTCAGTCTCGGCGCCTACCGACAGTCTATATCATTGCGCAGCAGCAGCGCTCGCCGGAAGTCTTTGAGACCTGGCTTCGGGAGACCTTACGAGAGTTTCGCGTTTGGAGATTAAGCGATGAGGCTCTTGGAAATGGGCTAAAGAGTGGCAAGGGGTACTTGGTACATTTGCTCCTGGCGAGGGAGACGAAGTGAAACGCAGATAGGCTCCTATTCAAACTATAACCAGCTGCAAATCGATGCATAACTCCATTTATGTAAGAAAGGGCTACCATTGCCGAGTAACGAGGCACTAGATTTATTGTAAGAAGCTAGGCTCATGAACCTTGGAACCTTCCGATCCCTTGCACCTTGCAGAGCAAAATTTCACAACCAATCTTACAAAATGTGAAGTCAAATTTACAGGTCATAAATAATGAGGTCAGGCTACTTCCTATCTCAGAACATTGTGAACCCAAAATTGAAGTCATGCTTGGAATGGATCCCAGTGTGAATTGGGGAAAGATCATCATTGTATTAACCACGAACCACCAATCTCGTGTATATGAGTATAAACATGCTCGATGCAAATTAATTATAGACAAGAGCGATATGCGCTAAGCCCGGTCCTGCCACAAAGTGGCAGAATAAGAACAAGAACAAGCTGCCCAAATAGACGAAAAAAATCAGGGTATTGAGAGAAGAAAACGACATGCAAGGTGGTAGACACTTTCACATCGGACTTTTGCGTTCCGCGTGCAAACCCACGGATGTCACATCGAGATTTGGGGTTAGATGGCGAAATTAGATGATGACTAATTTGGGACTATTCAGTTGTAGAGCCCTCCTTCGGCTTCGTGTTCTCCTTCTCAGGTGAGTACTCGTATTTGCGCTTAGCGGGGACTGTCTGTTCGGGGTATGGCATTGGCCCTTGAGAGATGCTTTCTGAAGCCGGCAGGGATGCAAGGGCTTCCCGCGGCTCCAGTTCCGGAGTGCGGTCGATAATGGAGGAAATGGACTGCTTAATAGATCCATTGATAGTAGGTTTGGGGGGCGTCGAGATGTCAAGAGGTAGGGGGGGAGTCTTCTGCGTCTGGGATGGATCGTTCCGTGGCCTCGGTTTTCACTCGATATGACTCTTCCCGGCGGTCGTCATCCATTTCTTCGTCCTCGGAGTCGAGCTCGTCATCTCGCTGTTCGCTATCATGGTCCATTGCTGCGGGGCTCCCCTCCGTAGACGCGCGGTTGCTGGCCCTAGTGGGTGGGAGAGGAGCATTAGGGTCGTAAACAATGCCGCAGAGTTCGAGGGCGCGTGACTGGCTGCCCAATGTGCGGTCTTTGTGTTTTTTGGTCAAATGGCACATGAATCCGTGGAGGGTGACGAAGTCTGATTTCCCGCACCCTGCAATAGGACATGTGAGATAGACTAGGCTTCCATCAGATGGCCGCTTCCATAAGGCGCGGCCAGATGGATCATGCGCCGCGGGACGGCCATGGCGCTCACCCCAGGCTTCAACATTCTTGATAGTGTACTTTTGCTTGCGTCGAATAGAACTAAGGCCAGTAGAAGAATCATGCGGAGCAATAGAGTGCTGCTGAGTTGGGGGAGGCGGAGGCGGGGGAGGGTTATGAGGCTGATGGGCTTGGTGAGATGGGTGAGGTGGGTGAGGTGGGTGAGGTGGGTGAGGTTGATGAGGCTGATGAGGCTGATGAGGCTGATGATTTTGATGATTTTGATGAGGTTGATGAGATTGAGGGTGCATATGAGCCGGCGGGGGCATAGAAGGTGGGGGTGGAGGTTGTGATACAGGAAGAGGAGTTTGACGAGGCTCTGGTGGGCTCTGCTGCTTAAAGAAAGCGAGCGTTGTAGCCGCGCTGGTCTCTGACAACCGGCGAGGTGGTGTAGGCCGCAATGGCGGCGAGTCGACTGTAGAATTCTGAACCAAGCCCATCGACTCTCTCTTAATCCTCTTTCTTTGCCTTCGCAGGTCCTGGTTCATGTCAGACATTTATGATCTCTGCAACTTGGTGGTACTAGTGAAAGATGTGTGTACCTCTTCTTCGGCCTCGGCGCTTTCTGTTAATCTGCGAAATTCTTCGTCTTCCCGCTTGCGCACTGCAAGGATATGGTGGCGGGCAGCCATTCGATTCATCTCTTCATGTTCCAACTGTCGTAGGCGAACTTCAATCTGCTCCAATGAACTCGGACTTGGCGGTTGCGGCACCGGCGAGGGAGCGGCATGTGGATGATGATCGTGCAATGGCGGCGGTGCAAAATGGCGGAAATGATGATTTTGCACCATCTGCTCCGGCGGAGGCATTGATGGATGAGGTGGGGGATTTGGATTCATTGCAATGGGATGATAGCGTGGCATACCATGATGACCATGGCCGTTCATTCCACTGTCGCTGACAGGGTGAGGTACCGGGGGCGCAGTAGTCATGACGAGGTCACCAGTGAGTTTCAATTAATTCACACCTCACACCCTCAAGGTCACTATAGAGGGCAATGCGGAGGAAAGCTCTTTACTCAGGAAGCAGAAGAAAGGAAAGGGAAAAAAGAAAATCGAAACCCAAAACCGGAGGGACAAGACAAGAATCGCAAGGAAAGACCCATTCGCGATCTATGGGTGGCTAGGAAAGGATTGACAACCAGACGTCCCCATAGAACCCATTATAATTATAGCCAAAGAAAAAAATCGAAATAAGAAATGACAAAAGTCCACTAGCGCGACCCTTGGGCTGCACCCCCGTTATCATGAAATTTCCCGTAACGGGCGTAAGGGGATCATCCAAGCTAGGTTGAGCTAGGGAATTAGGGGCAAAAGGAACAAGGATCTCAACCAGATCAGCCAGTCAGTCCGGGTCGGGCGCCGTCACTACCGGGGCGTCTCATCATACTTTGTGGCCCACCCAGTGCGTTTAGCATAAAGCAAAACCAGTTTGGTCGATGCGGTCTGTGGGCGACGACTTCCATGGATTGGCGCGGCGCTAGTGACTCGATGTAATCAAATCACAACAATCACAATTCCTTTTCTGGAGAAGTTGCTCGAGATTGGAATTGCGACAATCCCTGGCACTAGCTGTTTCGGACTCTAGCCTTGGGGGATCGAGAGTCAGTTGACCTTGACCTTTTTTAGTAACTATGCAACTTCTTGCTGGCTGTTGATTCCCTAGGATGATGAGAAAGAACAAGGGGAAAAAGGAAAAAAGGGCACCCGGGATCCCCACTCTGAACACACTGCACAAGGCCCTCGTACCAAAGATTCACCGTGTGTGGTTCGTCAGGGGTTCCTTCTTTGCTCGGGTCGAGTGTCTGATCTCAGTCCATCCAGAGTAATGTGTCGATGGCAGCTCAAGCCTCATTGCTACAAGTAAATTGCACCTTCCGGGATGCAAAGGTCTCAGGGTTACCGGACAGCCTCCGGCAGAAAACAGGAGTACGTCCATCGATGATCAGTCACTTTTTTTTTTGGGTACGGGCGCGAACTTTGAACCCTAGTCTGGAACAGTCGAATCAAATCCAGTGAGCAAAAGGCGAGCTTGAAGCTTCCTCCGGACGCAACTACCAATAGCACAAGCTAGATCTACCGTCATGCCTGCCAAGGTGCGCGGTGCTGATTGTGGGAGATCATTATGTAAAACGGGAGAAAGCGGGTTCCATGGGATTCGAAACTGTTGATAAAAATAAAAATAACAATAACAATAACAATAAATAAAGGAAAAAAAAAAAAGGACCAACCCCCTCTAATCTACAGTCCCAGATCTCAAAATGGAGTATGGTAGGAGAGAAGTCTGCAGAAACCGGAAAGCTATAGGGAAAGGGAGGTTACACGGCCGTGTACAAGGTACGTCGGCCCGACGTGGCAGGGCCATACAATCATTCAATCTTGGTTTACCGCTCATGGCGTTTGGTAGATTGCTCTCTCTACACCTCATAATGGAAGGATGGAGATTATAGTCCGGCGAAAGAGGTATGTTGGAATCTGATTCATCCAATCGGGTAGGAGTAGTTCCCGAAGAGGGGGGGGGGGTCCAGGCAAGGGTGATGATCTTTTACAGATGAACGACCAAATAGGCGATGAAGCTTTAGAAATGACGAATCTATACGATGTTGGGAAATTAGCATGGTCCAGAGCTCCATTCTTTTTTTTCCCCAATTCCCAATTCTGGAGCCATCAATAGCCCCAGTTGGCCCGGGGCTTTTCCTCGTACAAAGTTCGGCCAAACGGGACGTCAGGGCTTAGGGTAAGGTGGCATACCAAATGGGGTGTCAAGAGTGGGGACGCGATGGGAAATATTTCATACACAGCAGCACTAGGGGCCACGCTAACGGGGGGCCGGTCTCACAAGTCTGAGTATGATCGACGAATTATCAAAGGCCTGTATGATGTGGGCGTTTGAAAATTTTCAGAGGCCCCATGTTTCTCAGTCCCCGTTTTCAAGCCGAACTTGATCCATCCACTAATGCTTCCCCCTGCCAGGATCTCAGGCCTCGTAATTCACAAACATCATTGCTAGACCCACTTGGAAGCCCAACTGGTGTGTACAACGATGATTTGCTGCTGCGCGCCGCTGCAGCAAACCATGCACGACGGCTTCGCTGTCACCGGCGGCTCGAGTCTAGATTGGCCTGAGTTGCGTCGCGCTCGTGGTCATCCCTGTGAATCATAGACTGAGAGATAACGCAACGGCCGAGACCAGGACCGGGGGGGAATCTGGGGATCATTGTTTGTTGATTTCCTTGCTTGGACAAAAGGACGGACATGGGCCTCCCAATACTTCACCGCGGATTTACCCTCGCTTGGCATCTCATTTGAATAATGACGGTGTTTTTTCATGCAAGGAATCGAGAGTATAGAGGCGATTGGTCTGGCTCAACTAGCTGCACTAGTTAACCAAGTTTTGGTTGCGCGTGTTTGTTTAGCGGAGTCGCTACGGAAACACATTACTTCCACGACTTCCGTCCACCACTGAAATCCGGTTTCTTGAATATAATTTAGAATAGAAAAAAAAAAAACCGACTGAAAAGGTACATGTCTCGAGTTGATTACTCGTTGGTTCTGCTTCGGAGGATCCTGCTACTTTGTGGTCGCTCAGCTGGTCTCACAAGGTCCAATTATTGAGAGTGTTCCAAGCCCACTCAAACAGCGAAGGGGTCACGTGGTCAACAAGGTCTCATCTCCAGCTGCACAGTCTCAATGAATGGACACTCGCCTCTCTGGATTGGGTGATTTGTAGTGCTAGAGATACAATTTGCGCATATCAGAATATGATCTCCATGGAAAGTCGCTTTTTTTCTTGATATCAAGGTTTCAAAGTGTATGCATCTTGGGAGTAACAGTGATTAGCCAACCTACATGTAGCCTGAAATGCAGCCTGTATAATATTCGTCGTCGCTATGTCCTTCACAATTCTTGGTTCAAGTATTACGTACGTTGCTTGTGACAAAAAGACATAACAACTCTTCTTCACTACCTATGACAACAACAACATATACTGCATCTTGCATTCAAAGCACAAGAGTGTCCATGCTTTAAGATCGATTTACAGGGGTTTGGAGGTCGATCGGAGATTGGCCGATCTAGCCACAGATCTGCATTGAGAATGAAGTGCCGATCAGCCCATTGTTTCTGCACCTTGGATCCTGTCAAGCTCCCCCCCCCTTCCAATCCTGGGGACATACAAGGCGGACAAAAGCCCCACGTTCACACCGTCCCGGGAAATACAGCATCTTCAGTCACGCTATGCTCTGAAACATTACAGAAAAGGGCTCTGTGGCTGAACTGTAGATAAAGAGAGTTTCACGCCGGTGTCGGCCACACAAGTGACCAGAAAAGAATAAGGAAAGTGAACTTTGACCCCGACGCCCCTTTTTCTTCCGCAAAAGGCATTCTAATCGACGAGAGAGAACAATCCATTAAAGCTGTGACCAAGCCATGGGCCCAAGCGCCTGGGGATCAAAATGGGCTGAGGGTTTTGGAACTAAAGGAACAAACTGCGTGTCAGGCGTATTTCCTCCCTAACGCTTTCCCTACGGTCCGATATTGGCTCTGGGTAAATTGGAATAATCTTGTCAGACTGAAACGAGGAGTTGAGAGGTGGATATCGGATAGTGGACACCGGGAGGGAAACCTACAGGGTGCATTCCCGGATGAGAAGAGCATGCAGCCGCGGATAGCCCTTATTTGTCATTTGTCATTTGTCTGGGATCTGCTCCAAGCTAGCGTGGCCGCAGCGCAACAATGCAAGTACATTACTTCGTTGGCAAGTGCTCATGTGTCCTGCAACAAGGATATAAGCTGCACCCAATTCACGCCATAAGGGCTCTACAGTTCTGAGGAAAATATTTAAACAAGAGAGGAGAATGTTCCGATTTCTATTGTCACATGCCACCAAATAGCCAATCCCCAGCATCCTTTTTTGGGGGCCCCTTGCCGTAATGTCATTAGATACAATGGTAGACAATCCCGGCTTACTCCGCCCTGGCTCGAGAGCTAGGCGCAGAGGTGCAGGCGAAAAGACGAAGGGAAGAAAATGGGGAAAATAGATCATACAGCTTGGTAATCAAACACCGAGACACCAGAAACGTAGAAGGGGGATGAAAAGGGGCCTGGAGAGTATGTGTACAGTTGATGCGGAAAGGGAAAAGAACATGCGGAGGAAATCAGGGAGTCTCTTTAACACATAAGAAAAAAAAATGGAATATAGGAAAAGAAAAAATACACTAGTCACGGGGGGTGACTACAGGCAGCATAGTCAGGAGTGAAACAGCTTACTGCTTGTTCTCACCCTGCTGCTCGCCACCCTGCTGCTGCTGCTCGTTCTGAGCCTTGTGCATCTTGTCGAACAGGGTGAGAGAGGCGGTCTGGAGCTCGTCGACCTTCTCCTTGAGCTCCTCGGCGGTGGCAGTGCCCTCGCCAGACTGGTTCTTGACAACGAACTCACGGAGAGTGGCGATCTTCTCCTTGATAGACTCAGCCTCAGTCTTGTCAAGGCGGTCCTCGAAGTCCTTGAGGGCCTTCTCAGTATCGTTCAAGACGCTGTCGGCGCGGTTGGCGGCCTCGATGGCGGCCTTGCGCTCCTTGTCAGCCTCACCATACTTCTCAGCATCCTCGACCATGGACTGGATCTCAGAGTCCGAAAGACCGGAGCCGGAAGCAATGGTGATGGACTGGTCCTTGTTGGTAGACTTGTCCTTGGCGTTGACGTGGACGATGGAGTCGGCATCAATGTCGAAGGTGACCTCAATCTGGGGAACACCACGGTGGGCAGGGGGAATGCCGACAAGCTGGAAGTTTCCGAGGAGCTTGTTGTCCTTGACGAGCTCACGCTCACCCTGGAAGACCTTGATCTCAACAGCGGTCTGCATGTCAGCAGCAGTGGAGAAAGTCTGGGACTTCTTGGTGGGGATGGTGGTGTTGCGGTTGATCAGACGGGTGAAGACACCGCCGAGGGTCTCGATGCCGAGAGAGAGGGGAGTGACATCGAGCAAGAGAACGTCGGTGACCTCACCGGCCAGGACGGCACCCTGAATAGCGGCACCAATGGCGACAGCCTCATCGGGGTTGACAGACTTGGCGGGATCACGGCCGAACATGGCCTTGACGGACTCGGTAACCTTGGGCATACGGGTCATACCACCAACCAGGATGATGTCCTGGATGTCAGAAGACTGGAGGTTGGCATCCTTGAGAGCCTTGCGAACAGGCTCGGTGGTACGGCTGATGAGGGGCTCAACGAGAGACTCGAGCTGAGCACGGGTCATCTTCTGGTTGATGTGGAGGGCACCGCTGGGGCCAGCGGAGATGAAGGGAAGGGAGATCTCGGTCTGGAGGGAAGAGGACAGTTCGATCTTGGCCTTCTCGGCGGCCTCACGGACACGCTGAATGGCCATGCGGTCACCGGAGAGGTCAACACCAGACTCCTTCTTGAACTGCTCGACGATGAAGCGGACGAGGTGGATATCGAAGTCCTCACCACCAAGGTGGGTGTCACCGTTCGTAGACTTGACCTCGAAGACACCCTTCTGGATCTCCAGAACGGAAATATCGAAGGTACCACCACCGAGATCATAGACGGCGACGACACGGTCGTTTTCCTTCTCCATACCGTAGGCAAGAGCGGCAGCAGTGGGCTCGTTAACGACACGAAGAACGTTGAGACCGGCAATTTGACCGGCGTCCTTGGTAGCCTGACGCTGAGAGTCGTTGAAGTACGCGGGAACAGTAACGACGGCGTTCTTGACTGGCTTGCCCATGTAGGCCTCAGCGGTCTCCTTCATCTTGTTCAGGACGAAACCACCAATCTGAGAAGGAGAGTACTTCTGGCCACGGGCCTCCACCCAGGCATCACCGTTAGAGTGCTGGACAATCTTGTAGGGAACCTCCTTAATGTCACGCTGGACCTCAACGTCGGTGAACTTGCGGCCGATCAAACGCTTGGTAGCGAAGAGGGTGTTCTCGGGGTTGACAACGGCCTGGCGCTTGGCGGCAATACCTACGAGACGCTCACCATCCTGGGCGAAACCAACAACGGAGGGAGTAGTACGGGCACCTGTACAGAAATAGTGTTAATGATCTAGTTCCTTCATTCTTTGAATGTCCAGGCGCTTAATTCTCCAATCTTGAACCGGAGAACTCTGGCCACCTGGCCAACGTGAAATTTTTCATGACTCACCCTCAGCGTTCTCAATAATCTTGGGAGCCTTGCCCTCCATAACAGCGACGGCAGAGTTGGTGGTACCTGTAAGCATCCATGTTAGGATCCTGCCTGATGAATGGTAACCTTGTCGTCATGGAATGCTACTTACCCAGATCAATACCGATGACCTGGCCCTTCACCTTCTCCTCGCCACCCTCTGTAGAGTTCCATCGGCGGAAAGCAGCGCCGGGAATTCTGGAAGTAGGGGTGGTGCGAGCGAAAGCAGCGCGGGGAAGCTATTGCGACAAAAGTCAGTTAAAACTGTTGCGACGCGTGCCAAAATTTTCTCTTGGAAAACTTACCGCGCGGGAAATGCGAGAAGGCAGCATTGTGAAATATTAAGTAAAACAAGAAATAGGAAAATGTATCACACTCAACGACTCAATCGCAGGGTGATGAAAGGAGAAAGGGGGAGAAGGGTTGCTGATGGATATTGAAGAAGAGAAGGAGAAGAAGGGAGGAAGGACGGGAAGAAATTGTCGGGGAGCTTCGAGCGACCGGTCGAAGCCGATAGAACCGTGTACTGGAGCCAATCAGAATAGTTTAATGATCACCGCCCGGCAGTAATCTCCAGGAGTGTACACAAAGTCAGTGATGATGCCGTCATTCGGCGGTCGATGGAAGGGGTTGACTTACATGTACATATTGTTGGTTTGGTTTGATCTATAGTCTGATATCTAATTGTGATATACGGGATGCCTCTCCCATTAGAACCTCGCCTTCTCTCTGTATCTATGCTATTCCAAAGCGATCTGCCACCCTTGCACCATCAATGCAGTCCACACCATTGCCTCGGGCGGATAGCCTCGGGCAACCGGCATGGGTCCCCGAACCCTTTCCTGGAGAATCGGACCAGATTGAGATGATTTCCCCAGGTTCAATGGTCCAGAGTGCCTGCTACTTTCGAATTCGGGAGCACTTGAGGGTCCGGGTTCCTGTGTCGTGTGACCCTGAATCTATTCGGTCTTTCGACAAGTTGGGAAGAGGGCGATAATTGGTCCAATTGTAGATGGCAGTATCACAGCTCTCCGACTGGATCGCAGTGATGGCCGCTCAGCATATTCTGGCATTCCCGGCCTATCCAGGCCGGGAATTGAGAGATCAGGGTGGAAGTTCACCTGGGCGATGTTCGATGCCTGGGGTATATATTTCCGCTTCCAGCAACGTACAATCAGTCAGGCCGTATCTCGCAAGCCGCTCATGACAGTTCATTGAAATCAACGTTGATCTCATACAAAATCTACTTATCTCGGAGTCAGCTTCCAGCGGACCGGGAATGAAAGCCTGAAATAGCAGAACCTCATTCGCATCCGGACCCTGCGTCCGCATTCGTTGGTTCCCCGGCTTCGAGCTCCAGCAAAGTCTTACGTCATCCGTTTAAATGCGCATCTGAGAGCACCTGAGCACCTTGGGTTCTATTTTGGCTCAGGTTTTGCTTCTCGGGTTGATCGGGGCGCTTTGTCCCCTGTGTCTTATGCAAGTTTCTGGCGCTTAGACGATGTCCTGGCTGAGCTAATTCACCATGACTTCGGACTCGTCCCTGTGAGTCTATCTTCCCTCCCCGAGGCTCTGTGCTTTGCGGCGCTTCTCACACTCACCCTGTCTTAGACATCGCCCGACTGAGTCTCTCATCCTACCGAATAAACGACGCTTCATTCCTTTCAAAATCCCCAACTTGTCTGTATCTCCGCTTCCCGCTTCCCCTCGTGGGCCTGAACTGACACTTTACTCTGGACAGTCACACCCAGCTTCGCCACTACATCAGCACCGCCGATCCCGATCGCATCTATGTCGTCGTCGACAGAATTGTCTGGGCTATTCACATTTCCACCCAATGCTCTGAGAACATAGCTGTCATTCCATTCGAGCCGCGATGCTTGGCGGCAGGCTTTGGGTGGATCGCGGTGGGGGGCCCCGATAACGGAGAATGCGCCTTCATCAAGATCGGTGGCGGCGGCAGCCAGGTCCGTGGCCAGACAACCTCTCACCCACACGCCGATGTGGACAGCGCGCTTCCGCTCGACCTTGAGCCGTCTACTAGCTTGCCGTCGCCCAGGACTTCGAACAGTGGCTCGGCGACCGCATCTCGACATTCGGGCCGCAGGCTCCTGCCTGAAATTGAGCTTCACAAGTTCGGAGGCACGATCGTCAACTCCGTGACTATTCATCGTTTCCCGGGAAATGGGCAAACCGTCTCGGATGAAGATGTGGTGATCTTCAGGTACTGAATCACACTGTTTGGCTTGGTGTCATGTGGCTGACATTCATGCAGTAACAATGATCGAACCGTTACCGTTTATTCCCTGACCCGCGCAAAAGTTTTGAAGGTTCTTCAACATCCAACTTGCATGAACTATGCCTCCATATCCCCAGATCATAGGCTACTTGCTGCAGTAGGAGACGAAAATCGGGCGTATTTCTATGAGATCACACGTGATCTTGAGGGATTGATAACAACGGAATCTGGCGAGAAGCTCGCGGCATTGGAATGGGACTTGGCACAATGCGTCGAAATGGACATTGGCCTGCGGGTGGATGACGCGTGCTGTTTCACCATCGCTTTTTCACCCTCGAGTCATTTATGTGCTATTGGATCCCAGTCCGGAATTATCACCGTTCTAGATGTTGAAATGATTCACAAAACTGCCAGTGATGAACCAACTGATTTGCCCGTTATGTGCCAATTCCCGGCCTCCCGATCTTGCTCCGAAGGAGGAGCCGTGCGCTGCATGACATTCTCGCCCGAGCCGTGGGATCTCTTGGTATGGCTCGAAGGCCATGGGAGGGCTGGAATTGCAGATGTCCGCCAGTCATTCTTGCGTCGGCAGATAATCCACTTGGATGTCAATGACCCACAGCTGCAAGAGGTTCGCCTAGGTCCCAAGACAGACGGATATGACACTCCGAGTCTGGACGACGATGATCTGGAAGTCTCACCGCGGGTAGGACTAGATGTCGATGGGATTCCTAATGAGCGGGGTGGGCCCGAAGCGGAACGGTCTTCGCTCCGCGAGGCCTTGATTTCGGATCTCACAGAGCGCGAGAGACTAATTATGGAATTCTTGAACACAGCTCGTTGGACGTCGAGACTGGAAGAGGGACTCACCGAGCGCCCTGAAAGACCACCAAGAGCCACTCTTCATCCTCTCCCTGCGACGCGTTCGCGACAGTATGGTGCCACGGATGGTGCCGCTCGTCCATCCCTTCCTGGCTCACCTCCATATCCTCATGAATCTTCTGAATTGTCCCGCAGCAGTCATGTGGGACGTACGCACCATCCCCGACGCCAGAGTTCCGTGGTGCTTTCTCAAGGTAGTCGCTTATCTGAAGCGCGAGGTTCCAATAGCGATCACCAGCCCAGCCTGACCCTCAGCTACACCGCATCGCCTTCCGAGTTCCGATCTAACGCATCGGACACCACATCGCGGTTTGCCGAACCAGACCCCGCCATCCATGAAACAGCCATGCTCCCTGAGATGAGAGCACCACCTTCACCCCCACTAACAGGTCTTGACCTCGGTCTTTCTCCTGAGGCATTGCGTATTCTAGCCAGGTCTAGATCTACACCCCGGCGGCCCGAGCAAGGGCAGTCCGGTGGTGAGAGGCTCTACGACACGTCACGTCTATCAAACTACGAGATCAGAGCTAACGTTGCTGCCGAACGTCTTCGGCGCCAACGTCAGATAGCCAATGAGGTACATAATCGCTCCTTTGAACGGGAACAACGGCATCGCCAACAGCTTCTTGGTTTTGAACAGACCCATTCTCCCCGATGGATTCGAAATATCATCAATGATCTTCCAGATCGAAGCCTCGTCCCTGGCCCTGGCGCCGAAGAGCCTGACTCCACTGCAGGTGTAGGCTTTGGCGCTGATGGCAGAACGCTGTAAGCTGATACGTTTCCCTAAATCTGCTTTTCTTGACTGACGCCTGTTAGATATATCGCGACCATGGAAGGAATCTTCGAGTTTTCACTCAACGTTCATGATCGCAAAACATTCCCCGTATTTTCATACCGCTAGTTGGTTTCTCGTTAACCCCATTCTGTTTCTTTATCTTCAGGCCCAGTAAAAGCCACATTACCCTGCAGGAACATGTATTCGGGCGTTCTTTCTTTGTGCGCATTCTTGACGCCTTTGTGGATTCTTTTCTTGCAAGTTTCTTCGCTGTCTGACTTCTGGTGTCATTGCTTGCATATGATTCGGGGCGCTCAGGGCGTACATTCCATCGGCCATTCTGTTCTTTCTTCCAAGATTTCATGCACAAATTCTTCCCGAATGGCTGATCAGAGTACAAAAGTTCGGCTACTCAATTTTAATTCATCTATGGAACTGAATCTTAGCGTAGAAAATATCACAAACCTACCTTTTGCAGAATATCAGAAGAGAGAACAGCAAATACTGGTTAGTGAGTATCTGAAGGGAGACTGGGAGAAAGACCTGACAGCGTCACAACACAACGAACCCTAGAATCCAAAGGCTAAGCCAACTTACCAGGCCTCTCGGCAATGGCAATTTCGTAGGGGCTTCGTGTTCTTTGAGGTAATCTAGTGTCATCCCTTTTCCTTGTGTTCACCCATGACTTCTCTGTACAAAGGAGTTCAAGATATCACGTCTTTGGAAATTCTTTCAACAAGTGCTTTGACTTGAAAGGCTCAATCGAATCTGTCAAACATAGGCAGCAGCGGAAAACAAGGTATTGTTGTTTTCTTTGAACGACGAAATGCGCTCGAATATATAAGTCAGGAAGGTCCTCAAGCAATGGCATTCGATCACGAGCTCGCACAGTCTATTTCGTTTCAGGGTACCCTTCCAATGAAATTATTCGCTTTCAAGGCCTTTTTTGCAAAAATAAAGCTGACCTCATTCAGCATGCCTTCTCCTACCTCGCGCCGATCTGACCCCGAGGCGTCCGGTCCAAAGCCATCCAGCTTTAGGCTATCTAAGCGCAAACCAACCTCCTCCAAGCATGCTCGGACCCTGGAAAGAGACAATAAGCCTACATTTGAGCAGGATCGCGAAAGCCTCTACAATTCCCTGATGCACCGAAGCCGCCTCATCAACCGCGAACCAGAGAAGTACATGACAGTTGCAGTATACCTAACCAAAATAGCGCCAGAGTTCGACAAGATCAAACACCTCGCAGGAAAACTTCAGAAACAGGGACGAGGCGTTCCTCTCTGCTTCCCAGCGCGATGCGACATGATCAAAGAAGAAATGCAGAGACTTAGCCAAGGACTCACGGGTAAGACTCTGCCCCCGGACCTGGGCTCATTATTGATCGAGATGCTCGCTATCCACTTTGGGAGATTGACTCTAGATGGCAATAGTACTGCTGATGAATTTCCCCAAGCTTTGGAACGGAAGATTGGATCGAATCAGTTTGACTGGAAGAAGCGGAATAAGATTGATCGGAAGGGTCAGCTTGTTGTTCGCTATGCCCATCCGATCTTTGTTAGATTGAATCAGGCTATTCCAGGCTGTCAGTGTCTTCAGTGTGCTATGCGGACACGGGCCAGTGTTACGAAGAGGGATTGATATGGAACAGCTAGCGAAGATGAGTAGATAGGAGAGCTTGAACACGCAATGCAACTATTCTGGTTCCAATATTGAGGATACTTTGTATAATTTCCAATAGGTTTCTCGCTCTAACGCAAAATGCTGGGGAATGGAACGGCTTCCGGATGTATGAATCAATCAAAATCCACCTACTGGTGGAAAAGAATGCAGCCAATCTCCTGAGACTCTGGCCCGTTCTATGCCGCCTGGGCCTATCAGTGCTATGTGTGAAGTCAAGGGCTTTTTTCGGCTGTCAGAAATTCGAATATAGACTCGTACTCATACGGAATGATTTTGGCTGATAACACATCATTGAGAGATCAGACAAAGATTTGAATCCAGTAAGACTATCTCCTTATGATGTTTCAGCTTCGAACAATGTTAATTGTGTCTAAAGCATCTTGTCTTATTTTGGTAAAAATAAAAGAGTCTTTGTGTAAGCTGGACTATGTCGAGAGCCTTAAATGACATTGAACTTAGGAAAGGCAGCTGTACGCCATATTTTCTACCTAGGACAATCCAATCCAACCAAAATCCAAGGTTCGATATATCGAGCACCGTCCTGACTTATAATCATTAAAGATGGGTAAATCCTGGTCCAGTCCCAATATCACAGCAGCCACCATGAGGGACAATAGGACTAGACTTGTCAAGAAATTGATGCATCATAGTCGCAAGATTGACTATCAGAAAGACAGCTTTCAAGAGACTGCAGGTTTTCTCGCTCGATGCGCTAGCGAGCTTGCCATGGTAGGTAAGTTAGCATCAACTACCGACCAATTCCTTTACCAGCAGACCGCAACATGTTTTATCCAGAGGTGCACGAGACTTGAGACTGAGCTGCAAAATGTAAGCAAAGAGCTTACAGATAGGAGTTCTCTCTGTTCTCAAACAAGAGCATCATTGTTGATTGAAATGCTCGCAGTTCAGGTGGGAAGACTGACTCTGGACCCATATGGTGGGGAGGATAAATTTGCAATGGATATGGATCTCCGGGCAACAAACAAAGAATATGAGTGGAAGAAGAGGCATGCGCAGGATGATGATACGTTCTCTGTGATTCGACACGCCTTCAAGCTTTCTTTGAGCCTTAATCGGCCGATGCAACATTGCCCTTGCTTGCAGTGCGCACCCAAACGAGATCTTGAAGAATCCTTGTAGTGCTTGACTTATTTATGGGAAAAGGCTGGACAATGACGTGATGACAAGCGATGTCATATATCTGTGGGCGCTATTGGGTCTTTGACTTTTTGACAGAAGACTCTTTGAAAATATAAGCATATGAAGTATTTGGTTTTGGATCAAATTCGTCGTAATTGAGCTGGTCGTAAAACTACCTTGCTGCAAGGAGCGGCTTTCACATCATTGTAAATCAACAGTATTGTATTGACCAAGCAAGCTTAGCTATATTCCGCTGATACCTCGTTCGGAAAGTGGTCCTTCATCTAGGATTGTGTAGTCAGATCTGAGATGTTATCAAAAATGGTACAGTCATCCTCATTCTCGCACATAGCCGTCCGCTCGAGGTTCTTATCCACCGGCCCAGTCGGCCCACTTGTGTAGTGGCACTCGGACGAGATACAGTACTGCGCGGTCTCGACGTCATCAAGGAGCCCGTCTGGATACTCCTCATCGCCCCAGTAGCCTAGCCAGTTCAACCAGTCGGCCGTTTCACCTGCCTCCTCAGTAGCTCCAGTTCCAGTCCCAGACGTGACGGTGAATGTACTCGAGTCCACGTCATACAAGTAGCCTCGGTAGTTGAGCGTCATATCCCACAGATAGCCAGCGTCAGTTTTGTCAGAAACAATGCCCAGCGCGATAGTGTAGTCTTGGGTGCCTGCGGTCACGTAGTTGGCATGTCCGCCGTACGCAATGTAGGTGATGGGGCGGTCTCCTGAAAAGTCTACCACATCCCAGTAGTAGGCTGATCCGGCGCTATGCTCGGAACAATAGATGGCGTATGGTACTTCATCAACGAAACGAATCTAAAGAGCATGTATTAGATGAGACGTAGATCAAGCGTGTGAACCGTTGAAGATTTATGCTCACCATAACGTGCTCCCAGTCACCGACGTGGTCATCAAAGTTGATGTCCAAAACTCTGCCGAGAAGTACAGATTAGCAAACCAAGAGTACATGCAGTGCAAAGAAAAGCTCGGGCACTCACTTTCCACCGTAGTTGTACGAATAAAAGTAGAAATAGAATACATCGGTCGTGGTACTGTTCTTCTCTGCGGCAATAATGAGACCTGGAGCGGCGCTGAGGCCATCGCTATTGGGAATACCGTACTCCGAGAGAAGCCAAGCCGGGGTGTCATCCAATGGGTTCAGAATGGGTCCGTCAGAGGCAGTCAGATAGACATCCGAAGCGTACGTATCCAGCGTATTGAGAGTGACTGACCCGTTAGTCCCGCTAGCGACGAAATTCACCTCGGGCTGAACATTGGCCAGATGTGTTGTGATATCGGATGGGAACCACTTCTCGGCACTATAGAGGTACGACAGCGGTGCATATTTAATAGCATAGTCAGGTAGCGTATCGCGCTTGAGCAGCTTGGAGCCGGCTTCCTTGAGAGGCACTGCAGCTGTGAGGCCGGCGAGCGCGAGAAAGTTGAGCGCTTCGTAGATTGAGGGCATTTTGATGGTATGCAGTATGTGGTATAGTGTCATACGCCCGTACGGATTGGCATGATCGGGCGATCGCGAGCATTTATACTATTTGTTCGCCCATAGTACAGTCTTCTGTCGTGAAGACATCATGCTGGACTGTAACCAGGTGAGACTATCCAAAATAGGACACTTTCCCGGGTCAGCACCCTGTAAATCGTCGGTACTTACTATATTTGACGCAAGTGGCAGAGCTTAGCATCTTCAGAAAATGTACCTGACGCCCAGACGGCGGGATAAAGCTGGTATGAACCACGTGGATCAAGTTTGAGGGGTACCGAACTACAATAATTGATTAACTCCCCATGTTCGCCAGGGGCAAGCACCAGTCAGATCAGCCCGTGGTCTAGCGTGCAGCATTCGATAGGTCAACATGCAAAACTTATGCGCGGTCCGCGGTATAAGCTGCACTATGAGCTGCACCTTGCCTTGATATAGTGTCGGGTTATCACTATCACTGCTAATGTAACCTGGCACGGAGTGGCCTAATCCTAATCGATAAACAAGCAACTTCTTAGCCCAATGCTGACTAGCCAGACGCGTGGCCTACTCTTCATATGAATACTTCCGCGTTCAAGAACAGACTTGTGAAGCTTTAGGGTCCACATGAGCTCGTTGCAATAAAACACCGCTAGCAATGGAAACCTTTTGTGAGAGACAGGCAAGAAGCCACGGGCACGCACTGTTCAAGCCCCGGGGTAAGATACTGCCGTTACTTCATAGTAGTTGCCGGCATGCTCATCTCAGTCAACATCAGCTCTTTGCGCCTATCTCCTGATTCTGCCTTCGAGAAAGCACTCATCTCTTCCGGCCTTTGGCACAATTTCTTATCCCATCCATAACATCTGCACTACCTGGTGATTGATCGAGGTAGTAAGGTCTGCTTGAACAAAAACAAGAGGTTTAATGTAGGTTGGTAGGCTGCATGGAAAATGACGAGGTCAGAAACAGAATGCCATGAAAGTCTCGCCATTGATCATCTATAATTGATCCGCAGTGATGCCGTAGAAGGAGAGCCCCACACGACGTCAACCTCTTATTCTGCCAGTGTACACCGCACTTTGTCAAGCTCCGACAAGCGAGTTCATGACGAAGCCTGGTACGGCTTTCGATTGTGAGACTTTTTCCTTTGTTCTTAGACAAGGGACATACCTTTGGAATATCACACACATCAGGCTCCGACGTGGGCAATTACGCGAATTGCAGTAATTGCGTCGTGAGCGCCAGACACACACCGACGTGGGGTGTGCTCGCCGAACTGAACCCGATAACCTTACGATCTGTCAGCACCCATTGCACATCATCCTTACCATGCCGGAGAATCTGAGCTCGGTGATGGAGCGCCTGAGCCTCAACACCAAGGATGCAGACCCGGAAATACTCGCGACCCGCCTCGCAGAGGAAGAGGATGGTATTCTCAAGAACACTAGGCCTCGCAAGCAAACTCGAAAGACCACGGAGGAGCTGCTAAAAGAGCTGGAACATGACTTCCTGACTCCATCATCTCAATTCAGCCCGAAGTGGTTGAACCAGTTACAAAAGTAAAGCAAGTCCTGTCAAGTTAGAACAGATCAGGTGCTAACATGGATGCAGGCGATGGGACGTGTCGACCGACCCCTCCGACCTATTTGAGATTGCACCCACCCAGACAAGAACAGTCACACGATTTTCGCGGGAAGGACTGGAGGGACGAGTGACCGGATACCATGAAGTGACAGTTCCTGCTTCAAGCATCAATGCCAAGAACTCGACATCGCTGCTTCGCCGGCCTGCAGGCCGAGCAGACTTTGTTCGGGGTGCTGCCGGATTCTTTCCTTTCGCCCCCGGAGGCCTGGAAGGTATTCAAGCGATTGCTGACATGGAGGAAGACTCAGAGTCTGCGGACCCGTCGCGAAGCGGTGGAAAGCAGACGGGTCTGGACCGCATCATCAATTTTGGAACCGAGGGAGGCCTTCTCACAATACCTCCCGGCTTTGATCGTGGGCTAGATTTCGCGGAGGCTAAGTCCAAAGAAGCTGCCGACGAAGATCAAGAAGTAGAGCATACCCTGCAAGAAGAGAGCGAGCTCCATACTGATCAGACCGAACGCATACCTGAAACCAACGACCAGGTACAGGCAGAGGATGATGACGAAACAAGTGACGAGGAAGCCGAGGACATTGATGCTCTGTTGCCTGTGGAGTTCCCTGCACTTGAACCACGCAATCCACTGCTCATGGGCATGCAACAGCAGAAGGGCAAGGAATGGGCCCATGTGGTCGATGTCAACAAGGAAATCACAAACTTCAATGACCTGGTTCCGGACATGGCCAGAGAATGGCCGTTCGAGCTAGACACCTTTCAGAAAGAAGCAGTCTACCATCTCGAGAATGGTGATTCCGTATTTGTTGCTGCACATACTTCAGCAGGAAAAACTGTCGTGGCTGAATATGCTATTGCCCTGGCATCCAAACATATGACGAAGGCAATCTACACATCGCCCATCAAAGCACTGAGTAACCAGAAGTACCGCGACTTCCGCAACGAGTTCGACGACGTTGGCATCCTCACCGGCGATGTTCAAATTAACCCTGAGGCCAGTTGTCTGATTATGACTACAGAAATCTTGCGAAGTATGCTGTACCGAGGCGCGGATCTCATTCGAGATGTTGAATTTGTCATTTTCGATGAAGTCCACTACGTCAATGACCTCGAGAGAGGCGTGGTTTGGGAGGAAGTCATTATCATGCTTCCGGAGCATGTTACTTTGATCCTATTGTCCGCGACTGTCCCCAACACCCAGGAATTCGCATCCTGGGTTGGCCGCACGAAGAAGAAGGATATCTATGTGATCTCCACTTTGAAGCGGCCTGTTCCTTTGGAGCACTACCTTTGGGCCGGAAAAGAGAAGTTCAAGATCGTGGACAACACCAAGCACTTCCTTGAAGGCGGCTGGAAGAAAGCAAATGATATCCTGTCCGGCAAAGATGCAAAGTCCAAGAAAGAGGCGGAAGCCGCAGCCCAGGGACAGTCCCAACGCGGCGGACCCCAGGGACGAGGACGTGGGGGTCAGGACCGAGGCAGAGGTGGCGCTCGCGGCAATGGACAGCGTGGAGGTGCCCCACAGAGAGGACGAGGAGCTCCTTCCAATCGTGGCCAAGGTAATATTGCTCGCACTGGACGTGGCGGGGGCCGAACGAGTGCTCAACAGGATCAGAATCTTTGGGTCCATCTGGTTTCACACCTTCGTAAGGAAGATCTGCTACCGGCATGTATCTTCGTCTTCTCCAAGAAGCGGTGTGAGCTGAATGCAGATGCTTTAGCCAGACAGGATTTCTGCAATGCTTCCGAGAAGAGCTTGATCCACATGTTTATCGAGAAGTCGCTCACTAGACTTAAGCCTGAGGACAGAGCACTTCCACAAATTCTCCGACTCCGTGAACTCCTGTCAAGGGGTATTGCTGTGCATCATGGTGGTCTCTTGCCAATAATGAAGGAAATTGTCGAGATCCTCTTTGCCAAGTCTCTGGTCAAGTGTCTCTTTGCCACTGAGACATTTGCCATGGGTCTCAATCTGCCGACCAGAACGGTTGTATTCTCTGGATTCCGCAAGCATGACGGTAAAGGTTTCCGCGATCTGCTGCCGGGTGAATACACCCAGATGGCTGGCCGTGCAGGGCGGCGAGGTCTCGACAAGGTAGGTTATGTGATCATCACAGCCTCTGGCCGAGATGAGGCACCGCCCGCCGGCGCCCTAAAGAAGATGATTCTCGGAGACCCCACCAAGCTTCGATCTCAATTCCGTCTCACTTACAATATGATGCTTAACCTCCTGCGAGTGGAAGCCCTGAAGATCGAAGAGATGATCAAGAGAAGTTTCTCCGAGAATGCAACTCAAGCCCTTCTTCCGGAGCATGAGAAGCAAGTCCAGCTGTCCGAGGCTAGTCTGGCTAAGATCAAAAGAGAACCCTGTGAGACTTGTGACCTTGATCTGGCGGCTTGTCATGAGGCTGCTATGGAGTATGAGAAGCTCACGAATGAGTTGCATATTGGACTGCTGTCTTCGCCGGTTGGTAGGCGGCTTTTCTCTATCAAGCGGCTGGTAGTTTACCGGAAGGTTCGTTCATTCCTAGGCCATAATCTGACATGATCATTCTGACGTTCATCTAGGATGGACTACGCACTGCCGGAGTTCTTGTCAAAGAAGGGGTAACTGGCGGTAATATGCCATGCATCCAAGTGCTTGAAGTTGGCAGAATCAGCAACAAGCGCCACCCCAGTGACATTCTCCCATTCCTGCCTATGTTCAGATCATTTTTCCAGCAATTGCCTGCAAAGGCTGCTTCAATGCACCTGAAAGTGCTCAAGATCCCATTGTCGGACCTGGAATGTGTGACGAACATGCAAGTTAAAGCTGGAGGGCCCATTTGGTATTTGAATATTAGGAAAGGTACTGACAACCCCTCTCGCCAGCGGAATCGTCTTCATCATGCTAAGCTCATACCCCAACACAGAGGCCATCAAATTCGGTGAAAAGGAACTAACCAAATACACCTCCTCCTGGACCCAAGATACGTGGGATGAGATCGACTGGTCGCGGATTAAGGAACTGCAAGTACGAGATATCCTCGACAAGCGAAACGCCCAGGCCAAGATTGCCCAGTCATGTCACTGTTTGCAGTGTCCCCAATTCTTGAAGCACGTGAGTGATATTATTTGACAAGGCTTTGGTGCCGGTTTCTGATAAAAGTACAGTTCGAAATGCAACATGATGAATGGCAGGTGAAGGAGAACATTTCACAGTTGAAGCAGCTAATGTCCGATCAAAATCTGCAACTACTGCCGGACTATGAGCAGCGCATCCAGGTTTTGAAGGAGCTAGGCTTTGTCGATGACCAGGCCCGCGTGCAGTTAAAGGGCAAGGTGGCGTGCGAAATCCACTCAGCCGACGAGCTGGTTCTGACCGAGCTGGTTCTTGAGAACGTTCTTGC